GAGCCGCACTTTGCCGACCACTGGGCTAAGCGTTAGGCATTTTTTAAATTTTACTATAAGTTATTCAGTTTTTCACGCATTTCAGAGATAGCTTCAGTGATAATTTCTAACTTATAGCTCCATTTGAAAAGCAAAAAAAAGTTTATTGCCCAAATTTAAACATTTAATTATTTTATATTCCCTCAATAAAGAATGTTACGTGGTAGCACTTGTTGTCCTCGTCACCAAATTTATATTTTATCGTTGTTTGATACCACGCCTTTTTTTCTTTTCAATTCCTACTATTAGTTCACACTCTCTCTCTTTATATATATTTATATATCTTGTTTAAATTTTCAATCGTTAATAAAATACTTTTTATACATCCACTCAAATTCAACTACATTTTTTTATGATACGATAGAGATTTCATACGATAGAGATATTTTCTTCCAACGAACCATAAGACGCATCGTATTATTAAAACTAACATTACTAATAATGCAGAATTATCCAAAGAAATGATAAAGAAACAGCCATTCAAATTTATTTCAAAGTTAAGAAAATTTAATTACAATGGTGCCAGGAACATAACAGCTTACAAAAGGGATACTCCAAAAATTTCAAAATTTATCTTCTGAAAAGGTATATGAAGGGTGTAATGATCTGTAACAAAATTAAAAGCATCACATCTTGAAAGATAACTCTGAACCAATTTCCCTACCAAATCAATATGATTCAGAGCACATTAGGGAAAATCAATTAAAAAACTCTTCCATGGAACATATTGACTCTGCAAGTAACCCAAGTACTATTATCCATTTCACTAAAGCGAATTTTAGTGTTTAAAACATAATTACATTCAAAATTACTTGCAAGTAATTGAAATATATACCAATTCAACATTTCTATCTCATTACAATCAGAACTCTTGGCGAAATAAATCTTTTGGCGACCATCCATTTCAGCGCAAAGGGTTATTTAAAGTCCGGCGTTAAAGGCAGTGCATTATTAACTAACTTCTCTGCATGTTAAAATGATTTTAAATGTTTTTAATTTAAAATATAGAATTTTAAAACAGTTGCTCGAGTTTTTAATAATTTAAAAGTGTTAGACTTTCCCGTTTTTAAAATATCGATTGACAATACGTGTTTTGATATATCGATAAGAGTCTGATTATTAATATTATGTTTTCCTTCGATTGTCGACGGTGGTTACTCGATGTTTCGTTTGCTTTGCAATGTGATTTTCATGATAGCTAGTTATAATTTATTAAAAATGAAGTTTTTCAATTTTTAGCATTTTACTGTGATCAAAAACTGTCTGTGATTAGTAAATTTAAAGATTGGTGATTTAATTTCACTTTCTAATAAAATGAGTGTAATTTCATAAAATGGTAAATATATATGATTCAAGATATAGTTTCTGTCAAACCGTCCGTAAAAATATATAATTAATTGCTACTTTTTTAATAAACTTAATTAATAAATGAATTCTAGCATATTTGTAGTCATTATAAGAGGTTCTAACCAGGATATTTTAAATCGCATAGTTTTTGCTGTCATAAAGTTTATTATCTTTAACATAAGGTTGCTAACATTTATTTTCTAGCTTTACGTCTATTTAATTTCGCATATTCCTAAAAACTTTAAACTGTTTTATAAATTTGTGATTAAAACATTTGCTTTATGCACTGGAAATTAACTTCCCATTGCTCCTCTGGAAAAATTTACGATAGTTTTTGCTTTCTTATTGCTAAATCTGCAATTCTTTAACTATGTAGGAACTGTTTAAATGATAAATATTTCTTCTTAAATCATTCTGGTGAATATTTTTCTTTTTAATTGTGTTGTATATTTGATGAGAGATATTGTGTATCAAATAGGTATGAGAAATTGGCTAAAGAAATCATTTTAACTGTAAGAAATTTTTCTGTGTGTTGTTATTTAGTCTTGCAGTTAATAATTGGGGGATATTTTCGTATCGTGATCTGCCATGCCAACTACAATCGCAAGGCAAAAAAACATGTAGAGGTTTTCAACTAAAAAACATGTGGCTGTGTGTTATACCCTTCGAGTTGGTCCCTTTCAGTGATGTTTTTTTAAAACTTTTTCGTGGGCAACTGCCCGGAAGTTGCCAAGACTTGGCTATTATTCTGCCACAGATTACAATATGGAATATGGTCGCAATTTATAGTCACAAATTAGTAATGCAATTTATAAGTATAAAAACTAATTATAATTTTAAATACATTCTGAATCTAAATACCTGTTTTGCATTTATGCTTGATATTTTTCCTCTAAGTCATGTTTGGTGAGAAGAAAGTTTTTAAAATAAATATCTTCACATTCAATGTATACAAATTTTGTGATTCATGTAGAATATTTAACTTATGATTAGTAGGAAATTTTGCTAATGGTCTGCTGTTATTTTTAAGTGGCTATTTTTTAAAACATATGGCCACTTTTTTTACAATTTAAAACTTTTAAGCAAATAAATAAAATATTTTAATTTTAATAATGCAAATTAATTTCTAAACATTTCTCAAACTAGTAAACATTAGGGCTGGGCAATGTCAGAATTTCGATATTGTGGTATATTGTGAGCTTCATATCACGATATTATGATATACCGCGGTAATTAAATTGTTATGTATATTATAAATGCTAAGACTATTTTGCAATTAAAAATTAATGTGTTTAAAGAGCATCATTTAAAAAAAATGGGGTACTTATCCTATATTAGCTCGCAGCATAATTATCCCATGGAATCAACTAATTATAAAGCATCATTATTTTAAAACAGAAAAATTTTATTAATATAAACATCAATTACTAATATAAACATCAACACAATTATAAACATCAAAACAGTTATAAACATCAACACAATTATAAACATCAACAATTATAAATATCAACACAATTATAAACATCACAAGGAGATCCGACAATCTCGGATATTTTTAAAATCAGAAGCACGCTATTCTCAAAATGAAACCAAAATCAGTAACTAAGTATACCATGGAGGGTTGATATAACGCGCGGGTGTTTGAAATCCGATATCGCCAATACCACGGATATGACGCATGCGCTTTAAAGTCAAATGATACCACAATATATTGTAGGAGAAATTTCTAGCTGCCGAGAGGAGGTACCGTAAATATTACGCGCAAGCCTTTGAGTTCTTCACCCCTAAATCAATCACGTGCCATACCAATACCTCCTAGATACCATACCATACCGCCACTTCCTCGCCGCCGGTCGGCCGAAGATATTGGCTAGCGGTGAGTACCGAGAGGTGCAGGCATACCGAAGTTCAATAACTCGGTATTGCCGAAGAATATACTTCCGAATATCATTACCGCGGTATCAAAGAAATACCGGTAAATGACGGTATTACGGTATATTGCCCAGGCCTAGTAAACATTTGAAGATTCATTGTTTATATAAAGAACATTTTTTAGATACGAGCGTGAAATAAAGTAATTTTCTGAATACTTAAAAATATTCATAATAATTCCATAATTTATTCAAAAAATAATAATTAAATTGATATGGAGTGCNAGAGCATCATTTAAAAAAAATGGGGTACTTATCCTATATTAGCTCGCAGCATAATTATCCCATGGAATCAACTAATTATAAAGCATCATTATTTTAAAACAGAAAAATTTTATTAATATAAACATCAATTATTAATATAAACATCAACGCAATTATAAACATCAAAACAGTTATAAACATCAACACAATTATAAACATCAACAATTATAAATATCAACACAATTATAAACATCACAAGGAGATCCGACAATCTCTGATATTTTTAAAATCAGAAGCACGCTATTCTCAAAATGAAACCAAAATCAGTAACTAAGTATACCATGGAGGGTTGATATAACGCGCGGGTGTTTGAAATCCGATATCGCCAATACCACGGATATGACGCATGCGCTTTAAAGTCAAATGATACCACAATATATTGTAGGAGAAATTTCTAGCTGCCGAGAGGAGGTACCGTAAATATTACGCGCAAGCCTTTGAGTTCTTCACCCCTAAATCAGTCACGTGCCATACCAATACCTCCTAGATACCATACCATACCGCCACTTCCTCGCCGCCGGTCGGCCGAAGATATTGGCTAGCGGTGTCGGTGAGTACCGAGAGGTGCAGGCATACCGAAGTTCAATAACTCGGTATTGCCGAAGAATATACTTCCGAATATCATTACCGCGGTATCAAAGAAATACCGGTAAATGACGGTATTACGGTATATTGCCCAGGCCTAGTAAACATTTGAAGATTCATTGTTTATATAAAGAACATTTTTTAGATACGAGCGTGAAATAAAGTAATTTTCTGAATACAGTAGGGAACCGATTATCCGGAACGGTCGGGACCATCGTTATTCCGGATAACTGATTTTTCCGGTTTTCTGAATCGCTACAAAAAGCCGTTTTTTTATTGTTAAACCTAACGAAAAAAAAAAAAAATTTGGAAATAATCTTAGAAATAAGAAAAAACGATGAAGTAATACACTAATGATTATTTCCAAAATGATGGTAAGGTAAACATCTTTAAAAAAAGGAAGAAAAATCATAAAATCTTACGAGCAAAAGAAAAAATTTTTTTAAAAAATGGCGAGAAAATATATCGAATTTTGTTCCGGTTTTTTGGTTTTCCGGTTTTCTGATTTCCGGATAACGGGTTCTGTACTGTACTTAAAAATATTCATAATAATTCCATAATTTATTCAAAAAATAATAATTAAATTGATATGGAGTGCATCTTCATCAAAAACAGTAATGATTGGCAGACAATTTTGTAATTGTTATATATATTTAATGCAATTAATATATATAACAACTGCCCTGTGGCTGCTGTCAGCTTTGTCCCTATGGCATATAAGTTTATTATGAGGGGGCATAATTAACATACCAAGTCCCACTAGCCCTCTATATTTCACAAATAGCAAAATAAATTTTTCATATTTGTTGTGAAGATATTAAGTAAGTCTGTAACGATATTAATCTCTTTTTTTTTTATCTTTAAGGAATTTAATTTGATAGCAGTCGAAGAAATTTTTCTTTGTTTGTTAGAAATAATGTGGAGGACTTAAAGAGATTTTTCATTATTGCGAGAGACATACACATCGTCTGTCCCACCAATAACGCCCATGTTACTATGCTTGAAGGGATTGAATAGCCAAAATTTTAAATATTAATGTAATTTTAAATATTAATGCAATTATCCCGGTTAATCATAATGAAACAAAGCCTTAATCCTTTATTTAATAGTAGAATAATATTCATATTGCATAATATAATTATTTATCTTTGACAATTGATCTTAAAGTTTATAATACAATTCTGTTATAGTTTGTTATTTCCTATGTTAAATGTTGTTAAAATGTATATATTTTAATCATTCGATAATATACTTATTGCTTTTTGCACCCTTACAATATCACATCTAGTTGCAGGATCTCCTGATTTTTGCATGAGATTTTCTTTTTGATTTATAATGAATTTGACCTCACTGCATATAATTAATTTAAATTTGTATATGAAATCCCTAGCACTATTCTTTAATGTAAAATGCATTGTTAGAATAATTCCTACTGATAAATTTAAAATTAATTGTTAGATACCAGCACTACTAAGAATTTTAACTACACAGTGTGAAATACACTAACATGCCTGATTCCGTGAGCACTGATTCAAGCTCATATAAATTATTTCAACTTTTAATTTTAGTAATAAATATAAATTATGTACAACAAAACAGAAAAATATTTACTACCTTTTTAGAGCTGATACGTAAAATAAATTATAATAAAATTTAATTCAATTTAAATCAAAATTTGAAATAGAATTCAAGTTGTCTCCAATAAAACATAAATATTTTCCTCTCCTCAGTTTTGGTACCTGGGAAAAACTTCCCTTTTTTCCTATGCCACTGATTATCTATGCTTTTTTTTTTTGTTATTCCGCCTGATCATTAACTTGGATAATCAGCATATTGTTATATCTTATAAAAAGGGAGGAAAATGCAATTCTGGTATTTAACTTTTATTAGATGTTAAAATATTTTGTACTTTATTTGTGATATGGTATTACTTTTTTTCTAAAAGAATGAAAAAAAGCTTCAGAACATTAGATATGATTCCAATCCTGGGAATAAGAGTAAACAATTCAAAATCTTTCTAATATTAATAAAATATACCTTAATAGATTCACATTTGATATGAAAAAATATTTCAGGCATAGATGCAAATTTATAAAGTATTTCGTTGGCTGTAATATTAATATGTAAATATATAATTATGGTAAATAATTGATATAATAATAAACTGTAATTATAATAATAATAATACATTAATTATTAGTAATATAAATTATAGTCCTGTATGCAAGTCTTGTATACTGGACTTACACTAGAATTATCCTAATATGGAAAAATGAAATAAATGGCAAACTTTTTTTTTCCTGTTTTCTGTGAGAGAAGAGCATGAAAGGTTCCAATTGAAAAGGTTTTAGTAATTGTTGGAAAAAAATGTTTTATTGATTTCTACTAATCTTGGTGTTTCTTTTAAGAATGCTTCTTGTATTGTGTGAACATTATGTTAGTAAAATGTTAATTTGATACATTTTTATTATTTAATGCTTAAAAGCAAACCTATTTACTTTTTAGGGAGCAAATGCTTCTCAGTTGGAGAAAGAAATAGGACATGATCAGTTTCCATCCAATGAGCATTATTTTGGACTTGTGAATGTAAGTAGTTTTTTTATTGCTCAAAAGTAGTACCGACTTTTATGAGGTATTATTGTAAAATTTGGGGTTCTAGTGGTTGCCTTGTACGTATATGAAATACAGTAAAAGCTTGATTATTCAAAATGCAACTAACCAAAATCTCAATAACTAGCGTTTTTGGAAGTTTGCAAAATTTTTTTATATTTCATGGAAAGTCCTGTGTCTAGAAATCATTGGACTTCAGGAAGTGTGGAAGATAGATTTTTTCTGTCAAGTTCTTAATATAAACAAAGATTAAAACATGCATCATTCTGTAAAAGATAAATAATTAACATCAATTTTTTCCACAATGGCATTTTGTTGTTGATTTAAATTTTGTTGATTGATTTCCTGAAGAATGTTTGGTATTTTAAAATAGATGTCACTGATCAAATAAAAAAGTAAGTAGTTATGTGGAACTTCCTCTTTGATGAATAACGACCTTTTTCTCCTTTTTTTTTTCACTTGATGTGAGAAATTAGAAGCATAGATATTCAAATAAAAATGACATTGAAAAATAAGCTTCAGATTGGGAAAGTAAATCAATCCTATTTAATAATAATAATTATTATAAAAAAATGTTAAATAAAGAACAGAATGGAGCTGGTTGTTATAAATGTTTTCATTGAAAGTTATAATTTTGATCAAAAAACTAAAGTTCTGTCTTTCAAACACTTACTAATATGATAAATAAGTACTAGTTTTGTGTTTATATATTGCTATATGTGGAGTTTTTTTTTTAGTTTTTCTCCTTTAGTGCCACTGCCCGTTTTATCCTACACTAATATTTTTGTAAGGTCATGTCCGACTTTGATAAATGCTTAAAAATTGACCTTATTACCTACAGGTCTAATTCTTTCAAAATTAAATATTTTGATAATGAATTAAGAATGTTTCTTCAAACATTCTTAATGGAAAAATATAAATAAGTAGCCTGAACATTGATAGACTAAACCCATCTAATTCTAAACACTGTGTTGATTACATGTACTTTTATAGAAATTTTTTTTTCTCCTTTAATTGATATCATCTGAATCAATTCTTGTAATTTGGGACATTTTAACAAATTTGTGAAAAAACCATATTTAATATAATTTTTAACTTATGAAATATTTTTTTAACAATAATTTTAGCAATAGGTGCATTCTGGTTTAAATGTGGAATTACAAAGCTATTTAGTTTTGCTATAATTCTTTTTTTAATAGACTGTTGTTTCTCCACACTAACCCCACTATACGGGGCTAAAGTGGACAAGCTAGATAAATTATTAAGTTGTCATTTATTTCTACTCTGAAAGGTATGTCTAAAGCCAAAATAAATTCAATTTCAATCTAAACCTTAATGGAAAATAAATGTTGACATATTTTAATTAAAATACTAATTTATGATAGAGCATTACATTATACCAAAAAAACCTTTTAAATGCAAATCAATACATTTTAAAATCATCATGCAATTTGATTTATTTCAAAGCAGAGCACCAGTTTTAAGTTGAAGCAATTCTAATAACTGTAGTTTTAACTTGATAAATAAATGTTTCGAATGGGCAACACACAAACTGCATGGCTTGGCAATATATATCCCTCACTGGTGCAAGGAAAATAACTCACAAAAGAGATGACTGTACCAGTCACCGATTTTCTGTTTTAGCTTAATGTATGGCAAAAATTCTTCCTTAATACAGTACAACCTCGAAAATCTGGACTTCTGAAATCCGGAAATCTCTAAAATCCGGACTCATACGTCCAGTTCGTCAGAAAAAAATTTCAAAAGAAAAAGTTTAAAAAAATCGCTTAAAATAAAAATTTTAATGCAAGAGTGCAAAACCACAACTCTTCTCCAACAATGAAGCAGTAGATGAAGAGGTAGGGGTGGGGAGTGAATGAAAGCTCATAGCTGATAAGGAAATGCCAGTCATTCTTATCAGCTCTGTATAGATAACACAATATAAAGGGGAATCCCCTCCTCCAACAATGAAGCAGTAGATGAAGAGGTAGGGGTGGGGAGTGAATGAAATCTCATAGCTGATAAGGAAATTCCAGTCAATCTTATCAGCTCTGTATAGTTAACAAAGAATATAAAGGGGAATCCCCTCCTCCTGAAGGCATCTGTTCAGTGATAAGTTGAAATTCAGCTCATGTTTTAAGCCTATATTTTTAGTTTTAATTGCTAATATTATGTTATCTAAACGATCGATTATGGGGGGAAATGCCGAAAGTTTGTTTTTTAATGTCTATTATTTATTATTTAAAGAGTATATTTATGTTAAAATTGACGTCGAAGGTCTACACACGCGCGTTTAGTCGCAAAATCGGCCTGGCAACTTCGAAAGTTTGATAATTCTATCAATTTAAGTAAGGTATCTAAAATCCGGAAATTTCGGAAATCCGGACCTTCTAAACCCCCCAGCAGTCCGGATTTTCGAGGTTGCACTGTATTTCTACATAGAGTTATATTCCTTTAACAAACTTGATAAAACATCTCCTTTAGATTTAAAAACCTTTCAACAGCGATTTAATATAAATATGTAATACTAAATTCTTTACTTAATATTGAAACCACTAAATGTAAAGGTATGTTAATCTACAAAATTATTCATATTTCGAAATAACATCAAATTGCATTTGTAACCAGTTCAGATTTCTTCTATTGGAAGTTGAAACTTGGAGAGAGAAACCAATTGAAGATTTGACATCAGTGATAGAAAAGTATCTATAATAATTTTTATCATGCTACAGAAAACAAAAAATAAATAAATAAATCAAAAATTTTTTTCCCCCCAATGTATGAATACTTCCTCTTCATTACTTTTTATATGCATTCAATATTCCTTAATTACAGCATCTCCTTATCTTTTTTGTTTGGCAATAATATACATAAATATTTTTTTCAGTTTGGAAACACTTGTTATTGTAATTCAGTTCTTCAAGCTTTGTACTTTTGCAAGCCTTTTCGAGAGAAAGTTCTTGATTATAAAGCTAAAAATAAAAGAACCAAGGAAACTTTATTAACATGTTTGGCAGATTTATTTTATAATATTGCTACTCAAAAGAAGAAAACTGGAACTATAGCTCCAAAGAAGTTTATTGCACGCTTAAGAAAAGAAAATGGTAAGTGTTAATTATGTAACAAATAATTCATTAACCTGTTTTCTACTGTATGTACCCTATTTAACCTATTGTACCTATTTAACCTATTTTAACCCTGTTTTGACCATATTACTTTTAGTGAAAAAAATTTTTTGTATGCTTTTCTGTACAGTTAGTTTAGCAAAGATAGTATAGCAAAGAAACCAAATTATTAATTTTCTGTGGTTTCAGTTGAAGTAAGTTTCTCAATAAATTGAAAATTTTTAAAGTTTTGCTTTCTTTGATTCTTTATTGTTGGTATTATTTAGAAATATGTACAGTGGTTTGTAAATTGCATACTCGCTATTCATAATTAAAAAAAAAAAATATTTTTAAAGTTTTTAAAAAAAAAATCCTTGAACTGTGGAGTAATGTACGCTGTTCACCACATTGGGTATGTTGAACTATTGAAAGATAAATGTTATCCAATTTTTTATTTGCATTACTTTCTATAAAAATGGTTTTTTCATTTGAAATGCTAAAGATTAATTGATACCAGAGCACCCGTCCAGGAGGTGCGCTCAACATTCGGTGCAATCGCAAGGAACAGGCGGCACTTACCAGGCTTATCAGCGGCCACCTTTAGTCCCTTTCATTCGAGGGTAGTGTTAAAACCTACCCAAACTGCCCCAGGTGCCACAACATGCAGGCTTCTCCCCAACGTATCCTGGACTGTCGTGGTCTAGACATAGACGACATTCTAAATAACCTACTTTTGGTGGTCGATTTCCTCCGGGTCATGAGTTTCATGGACATTGTTTAGCCCTGCTAACTTTGGGGATAAGGAAGAGAAAAAAAAGAAGAACCTTCAATCATATTAAAACAAAAGAGATAATCATTCTTACTGCACACAATTGAAGAGCTTACTGTTGGTCTTTGAGGAGAATTCGTTCAGATTAAAAGTCTGGGGATATCTGCTGTTATGGTTATAAGAGAAAGAACATTTCTAACGGGTTTGCATCGGATGAATGAAAGAGTTAGTTGGCTTCAAAGAAAAGATTTTCATAACGACCTATGCCAAGGTCCAGACAAAATTATTCGCCCCTCACCCCTATCCAATGGGACTTATTTTTGTAACCATTTTATCCACCACCACACAACAAGACTGACATCTGGGGGAGTTCTGAAACCTGCACAATCTTGGAAGAAGCAGATAAGTGACATTTAAAAAAAAGAAAAGGGGGGGGGGGTTTCTTGGGGAAAGTTTTTATTTTTATCTTACTTAAATATAATGCATTCATTTATATTGATAAATCTATTAATTCTAAATCGTATTATATTGCTAAATCTATTAATTCAGTGGATGACGGAGGTAACTGACGCTATTTAAGAATTTTTTGAACTGAAGAACAAGGTAAGTGTGCTTGGCAACAAATATACAACAAATAACCCTGGAAAGTCACTAGCTTGTAACATATAAACTTTAAATGTCATTTACTCAAATTTACTATTATCTCAGTTACTTACTTCTTCCACTCATCTCTTCAAATATATATTGAGTTTTATTAAAAATTTTTTAATACTTACATTAATTTATTTTCCATGACAAAATAGTTTAAAATAATTTCTAGAAAATTGAAGATATCAAAGGACATCAAATAATTCAAGGAATCAAATGATAGCTGTGCCATGAAAGTAATTTCTTCATGCAATATAATAATTCAATTATACCTTTGGGGGTACTGAATTGGAGATTGATTGTTCTCTGCTTCAGGTCAAAATTATGTGGATGAATGTATGAATGGGTTCGCTCTATGAACGGATTTGACACATGGGTGTGGCAGTAGTTGAATTCTTGGATAAGAAAGAATCTGAAAACAAAAACAATCCCACCCTTGCCATAATAGCCTATGGCAGCAGTAACAACAATTTAATAATTTATTGTGTACTTAGTATGCAGACATCTACAATCTCAAAATTCTATACTTGTAAAAATTTTGTTCTTAATCACGATTCCTTAAAAATAATGCAATAATTAATAACATTTTAAAGTTGAAATACTCTGCAAATTTCTTGTGTAATTTTTAAGAATGCAGGTACACAATATTTTGTTAAAATTATCTTTTTTTTTGTCTAATTATCTGCAGAACTAATACTTACACATTTTAGTTTGATAAAAGGTCAAAAGCAATGTTTCTGACCAACTTTTTATTTGATGTAATTAAAACTTGTTTAATGTAATTTTTGTAAAAAAAATTAACAAAATGCAAACAAAACAAAGGTATTTGTAAGAGAATATTAATTATATAACTCTATGAAATAACTGGAATAATGCTTCTAATAAAGTTTCTCTGACCTATCCTGCTTTTTTGTGGATCAACAAACCCCATGTTATGGGTTTGACGAAAGATCATAATTTCTCTCTTTATCATATAAAATTAAATGGCTACAGGTATTTACTGAATTTAAGATATAAACATTTTTAAATTAATTATTAATGTAATTATTTTTTAATTATTTTAATTTATATCTCTATTCTTATAGAAATTAATTGTAGAAGGTGAAATAATAGAATTCTAAAAGTCACTTAACCGTGCTATATTATGACTTGTTGAAATAAAAATGGCCCCCTTTACCTGTGCCAAGTGATTCTTTCATAGGATTTGTATTATTAGTGATGCACCATGTTAATAGAGAAAACAAACAAAAATAATCAATTGCATCAAAATAATTAAGCCTAGTCGAATGAGCCCCAGGGCCAACTTATCCTGTCCCTCCCTATGTCAAGAAAAGTGTGAACATTTTTTTGATATGCTGTTTATTTATCCAATGTTCTGTTTATTTATGGAATCATTATTAATATTTTCTGTCTTCAACAGCATAAGTTGCTTTTTAGGGTAACAATCAAGTAATTGCCAGTTGAAACTTTTTGTCTAATTTTTGTAACTGAGTTTCATTGTAAATAAAACAATAATTAGTCTTGTATGCAGAATCTTAGATTGTCTGTGGTGATTAGTATTAAGACTTTTCTTTATTTAGTATGGTATACATCATTTTTAATTTACATTTTTACTGATTTGTGTTTAAAAAACATTTTACGAACATTAGACATAAAATTTTTATTTCTTAAGATAAATTAATATTGTTAAAAAATTCAGATCTATTTTATCTTTACAACTGACCCGTAAACTATTTGCCATGAAGCCTGGTTTTCTTGTTATGCATGACAATTTACTTAATCAGATGTTGCCATTAAAATCTACACTATTTGCTGAAAAAAAGCAGACTTTATATTTATAATTTTGAATCACTTGCTCTGAATTTTTATTACTTGTTAATTGTTTTCTTGAAGCATGTTTTGTTTGAAGCATGTTCTCAAAGCATAAAGAGCATGTTTTGTTTAATTTAATTTTATATTTTAATTTTTTCATTGAATAAAAATTTCCATGAACTACCATATAGAGGTTTCACACCTGAGTAAATATTTTTTTTTAGTTATAACATTGATATAGAATGGTAGTAATTAGTGCATTTTTCTTTTTTAACTCTTCACCCTCATGAGTCCAAATATCCAGTAGTTGATACATATAATAAATGGATCATGCCCTCTTGTACTGAGAAGCATACTAGTCTACAATTATAATCTTTGTAGCTATTATGATTGAAATTTGCTATTGATTTTGTACTTTTTCTTTCTTAACATTTTTGTGAAAAGTTGACTAATATCGAAATTTTCTGTTTATCATATGAACATGTGCATTAAAATAAGTAAGTATATTATGGAAATGATGTGTCATTATATATATATATATTTATATACTATATTCCTTAATTTTTATACTACTTGAAGAATCTCTTTTCTTTCAGTTTTCGATAACTCAAATGAATAAGAAATACAAAATATGTAGAAAATGTATTACATAAAGCATATTTTGAATTAGGTGAAGAATTCCACAATAAATATAATTCATTAATTTTTTGTATGGTACAGTTGCAGTACAATAGTTTTGATATCAACTTGATGCAGTTGTTATTGCTTTGAATAAAAAAAACATATTATGTATCAATAAATTCTCTTTTAAAAAAATTAGGGCATAAAGAAATACATTAATAGTTTCTTCTTTAAGGTTAGAGCATATGAGAAAGCTAGCATTTTTTTATCGATGCACACCAAAATGGCAAAAGTGTGGCCCAGATGGATGTAGCGCCACTCTACGACAAAAAACTTAAATATCAATTGAATTGATGAATTAATGAGTTTATCGTTTTCTTTTATTATTAATTGAATTTATAAAGTTCTTTATAATTGTTTGATCATTTGTTTTATTTTAGTTCTATTTGGATAAGGAACTAAATTTGTTAATTGAGACANTATATATTTTTTTTTTAAGAAATAAAATCATTTCAAAATCATTTGAATTTTCTTGCTTTCATTGATTTCTGAAATAATTGTATGTGTATATATGATTATTTTTCTTCACATGTCACAGCCTTCTAAAGTTTAAGATAATTGTGAGCATTATTATCTTCTTCACAAAAATCTTTTTATAAATATCAAATACACATATTTCATAGGTAATCTTCTAATTACTAAATTAGAACATAATTGTAGAAAAATTTGTTAGATCAAATTAATTTCATTTAAGTTTATTCAATGCATATTTTATCCTATTTTTTTTGTCCTTTTTATTGTATAACGATAAAATATTCATTTAAAATTTGTTATTTGCTTTACAATTGACAATTAGTTATTTCTTTATGTTTCTAAATATTAATTGAAGTTCAATTATTTTTTGCAGTCTCTAACCAAAAAAAAATTTTTTTTGAAGGCATTAATCATTGTTTTAAAAAACTACTTTTTACTTTAATGTAATTTTAGTTTTGTTATTCAGAAATGCAGTAACTTTGCTAGTTGCAGTTCTTCTTTTATAGTATTTTTTCTATGTTGCTTCAATATTGTTAAAATCAACACTTGTTTAAAAAGTGCTGATTTCTAAAAAAAAAATGTTTTTTTTTAAAAAAAAAACAAACACTTTACATATTTTATGAATAATTTCCATCTTCAGTAATCTGTTAGATCACCTGTTTCAAAATGTGCCAAATCTGAAGAAACCAAACCTGGTCAAGGTTTTTAAAGTGTCTCCTAAGGAAAAAAAAAAGCTTTTGCGAAGCAGTTTTGCATCTTATACTTAAAAAACAAAATAGTTCTAATTATTATTTGAATAAAAATTTCAAATAATTGTAGTTAAATCAACTTGATCAATTCATCTAACCATTTCAAAACACTTAGTGTATTCAAATCCTAAAATTTCAAAAAGCACTCATTTTATTTAAAAATTCTCTATTTTTTTGAGACAGCAATGTTTACTTATTTTTAAAAATATTTTTTTTGCTGGTTAAAGACTTAATGCTAAAAATGCATATAAAAAATTTCCACATTTTCATTAAGAAATTATTTAGCGGTTAATTTGTTTTACCTGTGCAACTTTTTATAATGTGATTATTTAAGAATATATTTTATACCATATCTTGAGAGCTGTTGTGTTAATGCAGAAATTCTTTTTAATATGAAAAGAATTGTGAATAAAAAACACTTTTAGAAAAAGATGGCATCAGAAAACATTAAGAATATGAAATTTTGTAAAATTAAAAAATTTAGTAGGTAGAGTACTATTATCTGCAACTTCACTACATAAAATAAGTGGTTTATATAATTTTTTGATTGATTCTATTGCCTCAGTGTTATTTCTCATGAAGAAGGAACTTTGGGAAGGGAGGGGCTTCTTCAAGTTAATCTAAGTCGCATTAGCCTATGTCACAGTAATTTTCCTTTTATTGTTCCTTTTTATTTTTAGTCATACTTAATTTTTTTTAAAACATCCTATTTTTTACGAATGCAAATGCAGATTTTAAAATAATCAATTTGAAGAATCAAGGGATTTGAATTTTTAATCCAACAGCTTTTTATTACAATGCTAGTAAAATTTCTTAAAATTTAATTTCCCGAACTTAGGGGTCCACTAATTGTATGCATGATTCAGACATATAGCTTTATCTGCAGGATCCATTGCTTTAAACTACTGGGAATTCAGTCATTTTATGAAAAAATTACTCAATTAACAATTCTAAATTCAAATTTTAATGGTAATAAATTTAGAGGCCATATTTATTAATTTCAACAAATGCAATATTTTAAGATTTCTTTTCCCATTGTTTTTAGAAATGTAAAAATAAATACTTTAAGTAATTAATTGGATATTAAAATAAAATTTTTTTTGTTTTTTTTAACATTTTTTTGTGAAAAGGGAATCTTTTTTCAGTATTTTGAGATTTTTAAAAATTTTTTCAGGAAATGCGAAAATAGACTTCCTACTCGACATTGTTTCAGGAAAGTTGAAAATAAACTTTCTACTCTATCAATTATGTATTAAAATATGAAATTTTTTTAAATAATTTTCTTATATCGTAGAGTTTTATAGTTTCACGGTTTTATATTTCTTTCTCTTATCTGATTTTAAAAGAATTTGCAGTTATTGATTTGTCTCTTTTATCTGATTTTAAGAAGATTCAATTCCAATCAACAATACTGCAATAATATATTAGAAATTTTATGCAAAGAATTGTGGGATGCTTCACTAATAAATTGTTTTTGCACAAAATATTTAGCCACATATTTACCATGTTTTTATTTTGAGATTTTTGAAATCCACTTTAAAATTAATGAAGAAAGAAATCTTGAACTCTCAGGGATCTGTCTAGGTTTTTCTGAGAGGTACCTATTTTGTGAAAATATAGACATAATTTGTGAAAAATTGAAAATTATATTAAAAAATCAATACCAAAATATGGATTTATCGTTTCTTAAGGGATACAAAAATAAAATTATAAGAAAATGTATTTTGTGAAACTGCCGTTTTTTCTAAAGTTGAGTTTGTGAAACTACCATTTTTCCTAAAGTTGAATTTGTGAAGGTACCGCTAAACGGTAGTAAATTTGGCCTGGGCAGACCCCTGACTCTATTGCAAATTTTAAGTACAACTTCAATTTACCATTTATCTCACAACCTATATTCATTATGAACAATAGATAAAGGAAAACTACAAATGTGGATCAGCATAAAATAAAAATAAGGACTTTGAAGTATGAAAAGCAATAAAGAAGTAATGGACTTGAAAATTAAGAAATTTACAATAATCATAAAAAAATTATGTACACTTCAAAAATATTTATAAAGCAAAACAAAACTGAGGAAACACATTTATTTATTTTAAATATATAGAAATTTTGGTATGTACACACTTTTTTAATTTCAATACAAACAAATTTTTGACATTTGTTACAGATTGCTGCTCTTTTGTAGCTAATGAGTTTGAATTCTGAGAGTTTCTCATTGTTTCAAGGACTATGGCTTTCTGAAAATAATGGCACTGGTTGTGGTTTTATTTTATTGTCTTCAATGGCATCATTTTACTTTTTTTAGATTTTGCAATCATTTTTTCAACCAACATCATACCACAAATTTCAATATTTTCATTAACTAATGCACAAATCTCAAACATGATGCTTGAGGTGTTTTTCTTGAACTGTAACAAATTCTCTTTTTCTTCTTCAACATTAACATCAGGAAGAGAAATAAATTCAAAGTTTTTTTTCTCTGAACATTAGCAAAATTTCTGAATGATAGACATGGGGAATCTATTAGTTTCAGAAACGATTGAAACAGGTGTTATTAACATTATAAGAATAGAATTGTTCAGTGCTTTATTTAAATTATATTGAAAGCTGTTTTAAGCTTTCTGGTTCGAAACAATGGTGATTCAAAATGATGTTATACAGTTTACTTTCCTGTAATTTCTTTGGAAATAAGTTGACTAAATGCTTGAAAGATTACGTATTTTTAGTGTTGACGACCTGGTCTGTTAATATAGTGTTAAATTTTTCTCTGAGTATTATAGGTATATACTCTGAGTATTATAAGTATATACTATTTTTATTTAAAGTGTATTGTTCAGAATTTAAATGATTCTCTTTTTTGCAGCAGAAAAACAGCAAGGAAATGTTAAAATGAGAATTGCAACCCAAAATGGTGAACAACAACAGCCAGCATCAAAGCCTGAACCAACTTGGGTTCATGATATATTCCAAGGAACACTGACAAATGAGACTAGATGTTTGAATTGTGAAACAGTGAGTACAGTTTTTTTTTAAATTCTTTGAAATCACACCCAATGTGCTTTTTCTAGGACAATACTAAGAATTCAATTTTACACAGGCATATTTTTTGACATAAACTAATATTATGTATTATTTTTTTAATTGCACAAAAAGCAGATTGTATCCAGGCTTATTGAACTTGTTCTGGCAAGTATTAATAATTAAATTAATTAATATTCTAGTAAATACGATGACAGACTGGCAACTGCTCTTAATTCTTAATATAAATCAAAATAATTTACTGTTTCCAGTAAATGATTATTTTCTTAGCTAAATTTTGAATTTATGCCTTGAAATTGATGAAAAGCGACTGTACACTCTTGCTATATACTGTTATCACTTTCTTGCAAGTGATTGATTACTTTAATCAAGTGTAGTAACTGACATATGAGCAACTTTGATATTTAGGAACCTTTGATATTTATGAACCCATACTGCCATTTAAGCAAATTATATGATAATTGGACAGAAATATGGGGATTTTCTTTCTGCCAAAATTATTCACAAAGCCATGAATGCAGAAATGGGCTTCATCGGAGAATCAAATGGATCTCACATTAATCTTGCTATTTTCAATCTTTTGATGCAAATCGTTCATGAAGAGGACTATTTGATTGATGGTACAAATATTAAGAGATTGACTACAAGCAATAGTCACAGCAATAGTCGGCGAAATTCTAACACTAGAAATCTTTGTTGTTCCATAGAATGCACTTTTGCACAGTAAACTTTAGCATATTCATACTCAATGATGATAGAGAGTGACTGAAAACTAGTAGTATCTGTATTGTTACAGTTGCTCGCAATGCCTCTTAGTGGTGAAATTTATAACTTTTTTTAACTATATGTATTTTTCTAAATTTATTGGTTTTCTAATAACAATGCAGCTAGAGGCACATTTTTATCTTAAACAGAGTCAATCCTTTATTGGACACCCTGTGTATATTTATATATATATATGCTAGTAAAATTTCTTAAAATTTAATTTCTCGAACTTAGGGGTCCACTAATTGTATGCATGATTCAGACATATAGCTTTATCTGCAGGATCCATTGCTTTAAACTACTGGGAATTCAGTCATTTTATGAAAAAATTACTCAATTAACAATTCTAAATTCAAATTTTAATGGTAATAAATTTAGAGGCCATATTTATTAATTTCAACAAATGCAATATTTTAAGATTTCTTTTCCCATTGTTTTTAGAAATGTAAAAATAAATACTTTAAGTAATTAATTGGATATTAAAATAAAATTTTTTTTGTTTTTTTTAACATTTTTTTGTGAAAAGGGAATCTTTTTTCAGTATTTTGAGATTTTTTAAAATTTTTTCAGGAAATGCGAAAATAGACTTCCTACTCGACATTGTTTCAGGAGAGTTGAAAATAAACTTTCTACTCGATCAATTATGTATTAAAATATGAAATTTTTTTAAATAATTTTCTTATATCGTAGAGTTTTATAGTTTCACGGTTTTATATTTCTTTCTCTTATCTGATTTTAAAAGAATTTGCAGTTATTGATTTGTCTCTTTTATCTGATTTTAAGAAGATTCAATTCCAATCAACAATACTGCAATAATATATTAGAAATTTTATGCAAAGAATTGTGGGATGCTTCACTAATAAATTGTTTTTGCACAAAATATTTAGCCACATATTTACCATGTTTTTATTTTGAGATTTTTGAAATCCACTTTAAAATTAATGAAGAAAGAAATCTTGAACTCTCAGGGATCTGTCTAGGTTTTTCTGAGAGGTACCTATTTTGTGAAAATATAGACATAATTTGTGAAAAATTGAAAATTATATTAAAAAATCAATACCAAAATATGGATTTATCGTTTCTTAAGGGATACAAAAATAAAATTATAAGAAAATGTATTTTGTGAAACTGCCGTTTTTTCTAAAGTTGAGTTTGTGAAACTACCATTTTTCCTAAAGTTGAATTTGTGAAGGTACCGCTAAACGGTAGTAAATTTGGCCTGGGCAGACCCCTGACTCTATTGCAAATTTTAAGTACAACTTCAATTTACCATTTATCTCACAACCTATATTCATTATGAACAATAGATAAAGGAAAACTACAAATGTGGATCAGCATAAAATAAAAATAAGGACTTTGAAGTATGAAAAGCAATAAAGAAGTAATGGACTTGAAAATTAAGAAATTTACAATAATCATAAAAAAATTATGTACACTTCAAAAATATTTATAAAGCAAAACAAAACTGAGGAAACACATTTATTTATTTTAAATATATAGAAATTTTGGTATGTACACACTTTTTTAATTTCAATACAAACAAATTTTTGACATTTGTTACAGATTGCTGCTCTTTTGTAGCTAATGAGTTTGAATTCTGAGAGTTTCTCATTGTTTCAAGGACTATGGCTTTCTGAAAATAATGGCACTGGTTGTGGTTTTATTTTATTGTCTTCAATAGCATAATTTTACTTTTTTTAGATTTTGCAATCATTTTTTCAACCAACATCATACCACAAATTTCAATATTTTCATTAACTAATGCACAAATCTCAAACATGATGCTTGAGGTGTTTTTCTTGAACTGTAACAAATTCTCTTTTTCTTCTTCAACATTAACATCAGGAAGAGAAATAAATTCAAAGTTTTTTTTCTCTGAACATTAGCAAAATTTCTGAATGATAGACATGGGGAATCTATTAGTTTCAGAAACGATTGAAACAGGTGTTATTAACATTATAAGAATAGAATTGTTCAGTGCTTTATTTAAATTATATTGAAAGCTGTTTTAAGCTTTCTGGTTCGAAACAATGGTGATTCAAAATGATGTTATACAGTTTACTTTCCTGTAATTTCTTTGGAAATAAGTTGACTAAATGCTTGAAAGCTTACGTATTTTTAGTGTTGACGACGTGGTCTGTTAATATAGTGTTAAATTTTTCTCTGAGTATTATAGGTTTTTTCATTATGGAAGTGTGGTTTTATTATTTCAGTTACTATTTTTATTTGAAGTGTATTGTTCAGAATTTAAATGATTCTCTTTTTTGCAGCAGAAAAACAGCAAGGAAATGTTAAAATGAGAATTGCAACCCAAAATGGTGAACAACAACAGCCAGCATCAAAGCCTGAACCAACTTGGGTTCATGATATATTCCAAGGAACACTGACAAATGAGACTAGATGTTTGAATTGTGAAACAGTGAGTACAGTTTTTTTTTAAATTCTTTGAAATCACACCCAATGTGCTTTTTCTAGGACAATACTAAGAATTCAATTTTACACAGGCATATTTTTTGACATAAACTAATATTATGTATTATTTTTTTAATTGCACAAAAAGCAGATTGTATCCAGGCTTATTGAACTTGTTCTGGCAAGTATTAATNTATATATATATGTATATATATATATGTATATATATATATATATATATATGTGTGTGTGCATGTATGTATGTATGTATGTATAAATAGCAATTGTATTTCAATACAAAAGTATTTTTTTACTTCAAAATTATTTACAGACATGAAAAAAAAAATTTCTTTCGTCAAAACTAATGATTTCTGCAATCAAAACAATAAATACAACTAAAAATCTATGCCAATATAGAAAATTTTTGAATTGCTCAAATTAAGAACACAGGAAGTATTTAGGAAGATTGGCTGGGATTGTTAAGAAAAATTAGAGATAAATTGAGAAAGGTACTGTCGTCGTTAAGGAGCCAAAAGTAAATGATCTGCATAAATTATAAAAATAGAAACTATTGGGTTATTTAAAATAGGCTGACTATTGCACATTATAGCAAAAATTTTTGCTGTAATATGTAATAGTAAGCTTATTCTAAGAAATGTCTATCATCATCATCATAGTTGGCCAGACAGCCCGATGTGAGCCAATGCCTTCCTCTGAAGATTTCTCCATAACGACTTCCGATTTATCTTTGATCTCCAATTGTTTCAATTAATTGCAAGAAAATCAGACTCCATCGAGTCAGCCTATCTCAACTGCAGCCTTCCCCGCTTTCTTGTTCCAGTGGTCTGAAAAGCAGTATCTTTTTTATTCAATTGTTATCACTCATTCGAATCACGTTGGGCCATCCAATTCATTCTATTTATTTTTATATATTTAATATCTGGTTGTTTATAAATCTTGTATAGTTCAAAGTCAAATCTCCTTCTCCAGTTATTTTCATTTATACCACCAAGTTACTCTCAAATGCTGTGATGCAATTTTCCTCCAGTTTTATCATTGTTCAAGCTTCAGAAGTGGCATGAGAAGAGTTTTGAAGATTAAGAACTTTGTTTTTCTAGAAAGAAACATAGATTTAATAAATCTTCTCAGTGTGGTGACTGGGTGTGAAAGAATAGTCCCAATGCAGCTCATTCATGTCGTAAAAGGTGACTAAAATGAGTACCCAGTGTCTGGGGGTAAAACCGGGCACCTTGCTTCTGTTGATTATATCAGGGGACTGGCCTTCCAGATTGGGGGTTGGGCATAGGGTTGATACCTCTATCCTGTAAAAACTTCTTGTTACGAATGTGTCTATATGAGAACGAATGTCTCTATATGAGAACTTATATAAAAAAAATTGTTTTAAAGTGACAGACCCATACAAAAAAGAGTAAAATTGCTAAACTACAACATAATACTATTAGTCAAGGAAGTAAGTATCCACTTCCTATCTCAAGATGAGAGTCTGCATTTTCATATAAAAAAAGTGTAAATTTTGTAAGAGATTGTCAATTATTCGTTCGGAATATTTCTTTTAAAATAACTAAGAATAACAAAAGACTATTTTCTGATGAAAGCAAATTCAACATCCATGTATCATATGGAAACCAAAAGTTTTGGAAAAAGCCCATAAAAAGATGAAATCGAAGAATATGAAAGGAACCGTAAAATACAGTTGTGGATAAATTTTAGTTTGGGGGTGCATGGCGGTACCTAGAGAAATGACATAATGAACCAGTGTAGTTATTTGAACATTTTGAAAGATAATTCACATCAAAGTCTTTCCAAATTACTGGAAAGAATCTTCCAGCAAGACAATTCAAAATATTCTTAATGAAATGTTCTGGAATGGCTGCGGCTGCTATATAATGTTTAGAAACAACAAAAAATCCCTTCACAGTCACCAGATCTTATTCCCTGGAGAATTTGTGAGATCACCTTGACTGACAAATTTGGAAACATGAAATGAAAAACAAGAATGATCTGATAAAGTCATTTTTGAGGAATGGTAGAATATACCACATTCTGTAACCCAAAACTTAGTTAATTCACTGTCATCAAGATTGAGAGCTGTAATGAACTCCAAAGGTTATCCTACAAAATACTAATTTAAAGTTTTTACAAAAGCGTTTACCTTAATTTCCATTTTTGTTTTATTTCGATTATTTACTTTTTTGTGATCTGAATTGCGTCTTATATTAAGTTAATGTTTGTCTGGAATTTTAAAATTGCATAATTATCCTTATTTTTAAATTCATTTTTGTATGCTGACATTAAAATAATACATCATATTTATTTTTTGATTCTTTATTTGATAAATGTTTCTAAAATTAATCTGGATACTGACTATTGTAGCTAAATGTATTTAATTAAAAAAACTTTTTAAGTGTTTATGTTCAATATTATGGAATAATTTGGACAATGGGTGAAAAATACTATTGTTAAATAAAAATAATTTAGTGTTTTATCTATATCTTCATTCTTTAAAAAACCATTATAAATATGCCTTTTTGAATTTAACGATTCTGTATGCAATATTTTTTTGAAATCTGACATTTTGGCATTTAGCATTCTTGTATTGAAAATTTTTTTCTCTATGTTTTGGGGTGAATGTGTCGTAGTGATATTATATTTCAGCGTATTTGTTAATTTAATTTACTTTCACCTAAAAGATTTAAGTAATGTGCCTCTATATTTAATTTGAATAAGATTTTAACCCTTTATATTTTAACCAAGTACTTCTAACAAACATTTCTCTCCTGTTATAATCTAAGCTTTTCTTTTTTGACTAATATTTATAATTTAAGCTTTTCCTTTTTGGCTAATATTTATAATTTAAGCTTTTCCTTTTTGGCTAATATTTTTCTTTAAAATTCAAAATTAGTCTGCCATCCCAAATCCTGAATAGTTAATGCCTTGCCATTTAGATATTTCCATGTTCATTTTCTAGCAACATTCAAAAATTTTTTTTTCAAGCTTTAAAAATAATTTGTTTTATGTTAGATTTAGATTTGAGATACATCTCTCTGCTTTCGCCTCCTTTCAAAAATAAAGCAGAAGGCCAAGCTGTTATTTCCTTATAAATTTATACTTAAATAAAATTGGATATTGTTATTTCATAAATTATTGTAGTTTTTGATCGGGGAACCTTTATTACAGCACAAACTTATAACTATATATTATTTCATTTTGCTGAGATAGTGCACTGGCTGTGAAGGGACAGTTTTAAGTAGGTCATAAAATTTCAGTTCTAAAGATACTAGTCCGACTGAAATCTTTACCCATGGCGGGTAAAGATATTTTACATTCATAAAAAATATAAATGATTATTAAAATCTTAACAGAGTAGTTACAGACCATGTCAACCGTCATCTATGAAAAGGTACCCCAGCGCACTGTGGCGAGACCTATATGCTGGTATCACTATAAATTCGGTACTAAAGCTAATAAATGCATTCCTCCTTGCAATTACGCTCAAAATTCGGAAAACTAATTGGACCCTCTGTTCATGCGACGGCAGATATAGGTCCTAGTCAAATTCGCCTATTTGTATACGACAGGTTCACCAACCGCCAGTTTCTTATAGACACCGGGGCTTCTGTTTCAGTTATTCCAAAAACACATATGCAGAAAAATTTGATTTCTAATAAATCTTTTGATATTTATGCTGCTAATGGTTCGAAAATTGCAGTTTACGGTCAGACAACATGTACTTTAGATTTCGGAATTTCCAGGCGATTTCAATGGAAATTTCTTGTCGCTGATGTTACTCAACCAATTTTAGGAGCGGATTTTCTTACCCATTTTAAATTGCTGGTTGATTTACAAAATAAAAAATTGATTGATTCCTTAACTTACACTGGTATTAAAGGGGAAATATTTCCTACTTTCTCTTAACAACTATTGCAGAAGATGCTGTTTGTCGAAAATTATTATTGCAGTACCCTCGCATATGTACGAATAACTTAACTTTCAACACTTCAACTCATGATGTTCAGCATCATATTCAAACCACAGGTCCTCCGGTGTTTGCAAAAGCTAGACGTTTGCCACCGGATAAACTTGCAGTCGCTAAAAAAGAATTTGATTATATGTTAAAAACCGGCTTATGCAGGCCTTCAAGTAGCCCATGGGCAAGTCCTATTCATATGGTGCCGAAGTCAAACGGCACTTGGAGAATATGCGGTGATTACAGACGGTTAAATTCTATTACAATACCAGACAGATACCCTCTCCCACACATTCATGATTTCGCTTATAGCCTAAATGACTCAAAAATTTATTCAAAGTTAGATTTTGTTCGAGCGTATCATCAGATCCCTGTCGCGGAAGCAGACATTGAAAAAACAGCTGTTATAACCCCTTTTGGCTTATTCGAATTCACTAAAATGATGTTTGGGCTCTGCAATGCAGGACAAACTTTCCAACGCTTCATGCATGTCGTTTTAAGGGGATTAGAATTTTGTTTCGTATACCTTGATGCCGTTTTAATTGCTTCCAAAACTTTAGAAGAACACTTAACTCACTTAAATACAGTTTTTAAACGTTTTGATGAATACGGAATTGTTTTGAATACCGAAAAATGTGTGTTTGGAAAATCAAAGTTAAAATTTTTTGGTTTTGAAGTGTCTCCCGATGGAATTGCTCCTTCACCTAGTAAAGTGTCCGCAATTACCGATTTCCCCCAACCTAAAACTGTATCGGAATTACGTAGATTTTTAGCAATGTTCAATTTTTACCATAGATTTATAGATCACGTCCGGCTCACCAATGTGGGGAGAGTAGTTATCGACCATGTCAACCGTGTCTATGAAAAGGTACCCCGACATAGAGTCGAGTTAACATGTCTTATATACTAGTGAATTGTATTGTAATTTTGTAGTGGTAGATACGCTACAGTATAGTATAAAAAACTATTTACTAATCAAAACCGTAAAAATGTGTAGAAACTTAAAAATCAAGTTTATTTGTTGCAAATATGGCTGTTTTAAAATTTCAGTGTTTCTAAAATTAATGGTGAAAGGTGGGCGGGTCAGCATTTTTTCTTCTAAATAGAAGAAATGCCTTTGCTAGATTTTGAAGCATTTTCACACACTGCTTCGCTGAAACTAATCAGCCTTAAATGGGGAGCTGGCAAGTTGAAGATTTGCCCTTTGTTTAAAGATGTTTAGTTTTTTTTAAAATTTTTTTATTATTTTTTTAATTGTGCTGTATCTTTTCTTTCTTTCTTCCTTCCTTTTAGTAATTCTCCTTTTGATACTTCTAAGTGCAAACATTTTTACAAACATTATGGAACTTTCAGCTTTTTATTTGGATTTTATTTAATGTTCATCATGGAAGCATAAAAAAAAACGTTAAACAATATTTTGCTAATTATTTTCCTTTAATTTAAAGATAGTTGAAGTAAATTTAGAATAATTTTCTAGCGAAAACTGTTTGAGAATATCTATGTCTTTCTTGCAAGATTTTTTATCTCATTTCATTTTAAGGTTTATTTCTCTAAAGTTTTTTGCTAAATTTTTTATTGTAATTTTTTTGATTATGTCAATTGTAGGTTAGCAGCAAAGATGAAGATTTTTTGGATCTCTCTGTTGATGTTAATCAGAACACTTCCATTACTCATTGTCTTCGTGGTTTTAGTAATACAGAAACTTTATGCAGTGAACACAAATATTATTGTGAAAATTGTTGTAGCAAACAAGAAGCTCAAAAAAGGTAAGATATTGAAATCAAATGTAAATTTCATCATTAAGGCAACAAAATTCATGCCACCTTTTTTCAGAAATAGCAACTAAAAAATTTTTTTCTCCAAAAATTGTACATTTATATAAATTTTTGATTTTAATGCAGTTTTTATTTTAAAAAACATTGAAACAATTATTTTTATTTGCCTTCCATTTTGAAAATTAGTGAAATGCATTTTTTATGGCCACATTTTTAGAGTTATTTTTAATATACATAGCAATTTTTTTACATGTATTTATTCAGATTTATTCTTTACAATAGACAGGGTAGGTATGATACATAAAAATAAAATAAACAATTTTCATCATGCACAGAAGTGGTAATAAATAAGTGGAAGTACAAAAAAGTGCTGTACAAAGTGGGATTAAAGAGTAAAGGAATTTGATGAGTTGATTACTTCATGAAAATAGCAGAGCAGTGTTTCTAGTTTTCTTGATATTTCTGATTAAATTTCCTGATCAACAATATTTTGTTCTAATTTGTAATTTTTTGTTCTGGTATTCCTGATTTTTATGTGCATTCGAACAGCCCATTTTTAATATGTAGAAGCATGAATTTTGAAATTTTTGATTTGACGATCTATTTATTTATTTAATGCTAGTAAAAATCACAAAATTTGATAATTCGAACTTAGGGATTGTTCACCAATTATCTGCATAATACAGGTGTATATCTTTACCTGCAGGATTCATTATTTCAAACTTTTTGAGAATTCAGTCATTTTATTAAAAAAAACTCTATCAGTAATTTTATCAAATTTCTTTGGTAATTCCTGAGTCGTGCACTTATTTGTTACTTTCTGCAAACTTGTTATTTTTACAATTTTCTTATTTATGAATCAGATCATGTATCCTAATGTAGATTTCTTTTTTTATGATTAAATATATTTTGAGATGAATTAAAAGAACTATTATTTTTCCTTTTCCCCCCTGAACACTCAGTAGTACAGTAATATAAACAGTAATATTTTGTTGTAATAGATAATTTTATTCTGTTTTAATTTTAGTTAAGTGTAGTCTTATGTATAAATCTTTCATATTTATGTCATAAATACTTAAGCTTTTTGTTTTTGATCATTGTTATGATAATTATAAATATTTTGCTTTTCAGAATGCGAGTTAAAAAATTACCCATGATTTTGGCTTTACATTTAAAACGATTTAAATATATGGAGCAGCAAAATCGGCATACAAAACTGTCCTATCGTGTAGTGTTTCCTTTGGAGTTGCGTCTTTTCAATACTGTAAGTATTTGTTTTCTTAAAGCTTTGATTCAGTTTTTTTTCAAATTGTGTTAATATGTTTTCCTTGTAAATATTGTGAAATGATGAATATTGTGATCTGAAAAAACTTAAAATAAAAGTTTTATTTTTTTTTAATTTTCAATATTACAAAATAAGATTCTAAGAATATTTAATGTCCCGTAGTGGACTGATCACCGAAGTCAGGCATCACTGGCTGCGGTCAGTGTGAGGGTAGGGGACCACTTGGATCAGTCTGCATAGGGACCGAGGGTGTGCGGTATTGGTCTTCGTTAAACTGTTCNTGCAGGTCGTCGGGCTATCGAAGCGGGGATGCCATCCCCTCTGCAGAGGATCAAAATTGTGATGGCATGTCTTCGGATCATCCTCAGGGATGTTTCCCAGGCCGTCGCCAATAGCCCATTGTGCAGCTCTAGTGCGACGTAAATGAACAACAACAACAACAACAACCGCAAGAATATTTAATTTAATAATATTATTAACTAAACTTTTTTTATCATATTTTTTATTTTTAAGATATAATTTTAACAGTAGATTTCTTGAATAAAGAGTAATTTTTCTTTTAATTTTAAATTATTTTTCACTTGGAAACTTTATATTTTAAAATTATTATGCATTTAATTATAAATGACGAATAATTTCTATAATTTGTTTCCTCTTTTGTGTAAATAAAATTAATATAAATATACTTACCCTTATATAGACTCACAAATATTGATAAAATTGTCCGTATGATTTTTTATAATTAGAGTCATTTTGCTTTCCAAAACCAACTAGCCCCAAAACAATTCTAGTTAAGAAATAGTTTATTCTATCTAATCAAAGAATGAAACTAATTTACCTAACATAAAAGACAAAAGTAAGTCAGTAACATTTAAAATAATAAATTAAAATAGAAAAGCGTCTAAAGCAGTTAAATCCAAATTTGTTTTATTTTAATTTATGAAGTCAGAAAAACAATTCTACCAGAAAGCAAAAATTATGAAAATTTAAAGATATGTGTGTTAGCAGGACAGCACTTCTTCTGGGGACACACTGTGTGTTGACAGGCAGTGTGTCACCTGATTAAGTGCTAACACACATACCTTTAAATTTTTATAATTTTTGTTTTCTGGTAGAATTATTTTTCTGACTTTATAAATTAGTTAATTCTATGTAACTATTATAAAATTTTTTAATGTGCAGCTTATTTGTTAATTATTTCTGAATTTCTTCTCCAGTCAGATGATGCTTACAATCCAGACAGACTATATGATTTAGTGGCTGTTGTTATTCACTGTGGGAGTGGTCCAAATAGAGGACATTACATTTCTATTGTGAAAAGTCATGGACTTTGGCTCTTGTTTGATGATGATATTGTAGATGTAAGTATCCTTTTTCATATTATTACTTTTCAACTTGAGTTGATTGTTACACATTATATTAAATCAAATTTATATTAAAAATAAAATTTTGGAAAAAAAATTTAATACTATGTGTATTAGGGATGCATAGCTGCTAACTCTACCGGATTTTCCAGTTACCTACTGGATTTTACCAGTCTTTTTCCTGGTCTAAGTAGTTTTTGTACTTTTTTAAAAGAAAGCTCTAAATGATATAGGGATTTACACAAATTCTATTTAGTACTATTCAACAAGTTTTAATTAAAGTATCAGTATTTTTAGGGGAACATCCCTCATAAAAGTATGTTTACTTTCCTTTACCATCACATTTAGGTGTAAGGACGATTATTTTATTGCAGTGTTCCCCAACCCCCGGTCCACGGACCGGCACCGGTCCGTGGATCAAATGGTACCGGGCCGCCAAATAATTGAAATTGAATTTAAATTCCTGGGTTTATACCCCAAATTAAAAATACCTGTGTTCCATTAAAATTTTATTAATTTAAAAAAAGTGGCCCCCGAAGGTAGTGACATAAATTTCTTAATATTTGTAATGTATCATTGTCTCCGATTACCCCCAGATGGAACCGTCTCATTGTGAAGAAACGAGCTCAGGGTTAACATTGATTTAACGTTCTAGTAAGTTAAAATGTTAAATCACTTTATACTTATTTTTTGGTATATCAGTATTTTATTTTGAAGGCATGTTTAAATACAATTAAATTGATTTAATAATACAAAATAATCTAAAATATAAACAATCAACGCCCCCCCCCCCATCGGGCCGCAGTTAAATTATCAAACGATGACAGGTCCGCGGTGATAAAAAGGTTGGGGAACACTGTTTTATTGTATTCAATCAAAGTATGAAATTGATTTAAGCAATTATTAAGAAAAAAAAACTTTGAGAAAAAAACTTACAAATAATAAGTCAAAATGGAAAAGCTCTAAAAGCAGTTAAAACCAAATTTGTCTTATGTAAACAATTTAAATAAAAAGTTAGAAACCAAAAACAAGCAAAAACAATTTTCTGAAGATTTGCATGTTAGCAAAAACAGCACTTCATCAGGTCTTCATCATGTCTGCTATCACACTGGAGCCTTCTGTAGTCAGTGGATAAACCAAAAACTGACTATGCCCTGAGGACCCATAATGGAAAAACTAAATAAGAAAAATGAATAAAAAATTCAAATATTGAAGTAAATTTGATAAAAATTCAACGATACAAAAAAAAAGTCAAAAGTAAAATATAAATGGCCAGATCTGAGAAAATAAAATATAAATGGCCAGATCTTTAAAAATTTACTGCTGACCCCTTTCAAAAACCTTAAAATAGAGAGTAAAAACTTTCAATAATTAAAAAATCCAATAAAGTGCGACCATTTAAATTCTTCAGGAACAAAAAATCCTAAATTTCTTCGCATAGGCCTATTTATGCAGGCTTCAACATCGGCCAAATAAGTTGAATTTCTTTAATATATATTGAATTAAATTATTATTACAATAATTAAAAAAAATTACAGTACAGAACCCGTTATCCGGAAATCAGAAAACCGGAAAACCAAAAAACCGGAACGAAATCCGATAAATTTTCCCGCCATTTTTTAAAAAAAACTTTTTTTTCCTCATAAGATTTTAGGATTTTCCTTTCTTTCTTGAAAGATGTTCACCTTACCATTATTTTGGAAATAATCATTAGTGTATTACTTCATCGTTTTTTCTTCTTTTTAAGATTATTTCCCAAGAAAAAAATTTTTTTTAGTTGGGTTTAACAATAAAAAAACGACTTTTTGTAGCGATTCAGAAAACCGGAAAAATCAGTTATCCGGAATAGCGATGGTCCCGATCGTTCCGGATAATTGGTTCCCTACTGTATTATTCTCTAAGGTAATTTTGAAATTCTTAATAGCTGAAAGAAAATCTGTTTTATTATTACAAATAAATTAAAACCAAGGAATTTGACCAATCAAAATATTCTTAAAAATGTTAAAGTATAAGATGGATTTAAAATGTGTTAAACTAATATCATTAAACTTAAATTTTCTTCTTTTATCATATCAAAGAAGAGAATTTAAGTTTAGTGTATTAGTTTCAATGTGTGCATGTTTTTTTTTTTTTATTTTAAATTTGCTCGTATTTTTTTTTTTTTATCCAGACAAGTTTTGAATTTTTTTTTTTTAAAGTTTCAAGTAATTTTGTTAGATTGTCTAAGTATCCTTTTCTTTTAGAAAATTGACGCCTCTGCGATTGAAGACTTTTATGGGCTTACATCTGATACACAGAAAACATCTGAATCTGGTTATATTCTCTTTTATCAATCCAAAGAATGAACAAGGTTTCTAAAATTGTTTTCTTCATATTTCAGTGCATTAATAATTTATTATGATCAATATATCAAATTAGTTTTAAGCCCCAAGTGTTAGCGATTTTGAAAATTTGACTATATTTTCATTTGGGAAATTATTTTCCTTTGTAGTAAGCTGAATTGTCTTAACAGGCAATATTTCTTTGATGTCATTGGTTGCAAAGTTGATTTAGATTTACTTTCTAATCTTGACATCGAGTGTTTTGTGAGTTTTTGTTTCTATGAAACATTTAATTTAATATAAATAGTAAAGAAAAAAAATATTCTTATCTGTTTATTTTTTTTTTTAAATTCGTAATCATAAATATATATTTTAGTAATATTATTTGATCATATTGCTTTTAATTTTAGAGTGCAATAATCTGAGAATTATATGTTCTTATGCTTGAATCAATTTTTGTCATAAGATAGTGTATTTTATTTGCTTGTTATTAATAAATCAAATGCTTAAAGAATTTTGAAATTTTTATGGTGAATAGAATGGTGAATTTTTTAAGAAATTTAAAAAAAATCATTCTAATATTTAAGCAATTCTTTAATCGGCAGACCTAATTATAGTATACATTACTCATATGGCATTGTTCAATTTAAAAATTTTTTTAGTCTGAAATTTTTTTTTTTTAATGTTTGAATTTGAGAAACATAAAAAATATTGAGTTTCTAGTAACATTTTGTTGTGAATTCGTATAATTTTTTGTTAATGTCTTCCATCTAATCAATGAAACTTTTTCTTTAATTTTTCTAATTGTTTTAATTGGTTGTAGAGTTGTATTATTTTAATGTGTTCTATTCCACCGGTGTAAATCTGTGTATCTAATATAAGTGCATAATTATGTATGTATAAAAACCAAAACAAAATATGTATAGATAATGTCATTTTTGTACACTGTTGTAGATTTAAAGTTTTATTGTAAATAATTTTAAAACATATTTCAGTTTTCGACTTAGAATTTATTTTAATATTAAAAACAAATATTTTACTTCTGAAATAAGTGTGAAATATATTGTAAAATTTTAATTAAAAATAATATTTAGATTATCATAATAAATTCAGTTCAGATAGAATGTACATTGAGTTTCTATAAAATTATCTGTACTTTATAAATTAATTCCTTCTCTGTGAAAAAAATTGTAATGTACTGTTGTTTTATTAAAATATATACTGATTTCAAAATCTAATTCTCTGTAAATTTTTATATTTTATTTAAGTTATTAAATCAGTTTTAGAAATATAAGGTGGCAAAATTGATCAATCATAACTTTGATTATATGGTTGGCTCATTTTATAATAACAAATAAATAAAGCATCTGATTTTAGAAGAAAAAGAATTATGGACAGAAAGTCAAATAGATTTTATTAAATATTAGTTTATAAAGATAATGTCCTACTTTGGTACTAGTAAATTCTGACTTGGTCTGTAAAAGTTGACCTAGTTGCTTACATTAATATTTTGTTTATTAAACATTTTAATTATATGTTAACAATTCTAGTCATATTAATATTGCTTAATTTCTAAGTAATAAATTAGAGGTTGTGTTATAAACAAATTAAAAGTTAACTTTTTTGTTAAAAATGTATTCAAAATCTTTGCAAATACAACTATTTTTTAAATAGCAATTTTAAACATTTACAGCATATATTATCAATCTATTCTAAAATTTCTTAATTGCTTTAGGTGGGTATTAGATTTTAGTAGGCTGACCCTGTAAATATATATGCTGTAATTACCAATGTTCATGTTTGCCAAATTCTAATTTCTAAAGAGAAAGTTCAATCCTGAAAAGCAAGCCTGTCTCAGCCCTAATACTTTCCATTGATTTGCTGAAATTAAACTTTTTATGTCTGTAACATTTTTAAAAATATTTATACATTTAATTTTTAGTTTGAAAAAACTTCATTATTTTCATTGTAAGGGAAAACATTTAGACATAGTATGCAATTTAGAATGAATTAATGCAAAGTAAATTTTTGACATGATATTTAATATTTGCTGCTATCAGCAAATTACTATATAGTTATAAGAATTATTTATTTCAGTTATCAAATATATCATTATAAAGGAAAAATATATACATTCACTGTATCTTCAACATGAAAATTTATCAAACATCATAATTGTAAGTTATGTTGTTCTGGCAGTGTGCAATTGCTATTCTTTTTTCATGATTTTATTGACCTTATGCGAGAGAAGATTTGGATCTCGAATGGCTGTTATCTATTCAAACACAGATCTTATAGATAATAGCGGTAACTTCTGTAGCCAAAGTGCTTTTAATAGTTTCTCAAAAATGGAGTTTTCAGCCAAACCTTTCATTTGTCATTACTAGTCAGAGGAGCTCTTGTCATCAAGATTAAGTTCGGTCAAGACCTTTTTTAACCCAGCTTCAACATCTGTTACAATATACAAAATTTTTTAATACATTGTATTTTTCATCTGCTGGTGGGTTTCACAAAACATCTATGACGAAATCTAAGACATTTTCATGTAATGAGGCAACGAGTCTGTTTTACTTAGTTAAATCATGAGTAATATTACCATTAGCTAACTGTGCTTCAAGTTATAAAAACCACAGTTTAGGTTTATGTCGCTAAAAAATTAATGCTTTTCCAGTTACTTTGTTTATTTCTTAATTCCCATTATCTTGAGTTGATGAATTCAAATTATCATTTGAACTTTTCTTTATGTTTTATGTAAAGTCAACTCAGATAATAATGGTTATATTTAAATGAGCAAACCTTTTTCTTCGAAATAAAACTTTCACAATGTTGAAATGATGTCGCTCGGTCACCATGTGTATGGCACTTAGACTTCCTACAGTTTGCGGTTTACGATGAATTAATACAAGCAAATTAATGACACAATAATATTTAACATTTAAAACTATCTGCAAGTTAATATATAGTTATAAGAATAATTAATTTCAGTTATAAAATACATCATTAATGAGGAAAAATATATATATTTACTATATCTTCAATGCCAAAATCTTTTGAACATAATTTTAAATAAAGTTATGTTGTCCTAGCAACGTGTAGTTTCCATTCATCAGAAAAATAAAACATTAATGAACAGGATTCTATTGACCTTGTACTCCACAACATATTGAAGGTATCTTTTTAAATTAAGTAAAAATTTTTTTTATCAAATGACAAAATTTTATCTTAAATATATATATGAATACAATGTATCTCATAAATGTGTAACTTTTTAAACAGTTAAACAAAAGATAAAAAAATGAAAGCTTTTAAAATACCATTATTGTTTAGAGGGTAGCTTTAACATTTCAACTGTTAGGACCTTATTAGCCTGACAGATCAGTAAGGATGCACTAGCTTAAGAGATACAACTTAGCTCTCTAGGTTGGGCTCACCCAAAACTTTCAATATGATACACTTTTAAAAGACAATTTATTAATAAAAACATTTAAAAAAGAATTCAAACAGTTATATTTTATTAGTTAAATGAAATGTTAAGTTTATCGAGGGAAAAAATGCGAAGATATTTTAAATAACTTAAGAGGATGCTGCACCAAGAAAAGAAATTCTACCTTGCAAAATCGGTCTAAACTCGGACACTCTGCACTTTTTTCTTGTGACATGTTATGCAGTTCAAGGAAAATTGAACAATGTAACTATAGCATTAGTTTCAAAAAATGATTCTCCGTCAGGGTTTGCAGCCCTTAATTTTAAATGTGTTTTTTTTTAGTTTCGTAGTAAGACATCCAGAAAAAATATTCTGTATATTGGTCTAAATAGATTATAAATGTTAATAGTTACGAGATGTAAGGTAATAGTGATTGACTTATACCTCATAATTTTTTCGTTTCAAATAAGAATGCAAAGAAATAGATTAATTTTTATATATGTGATTGCTGTTTCAAAATTATTAATTGAAAATCTCAGTTTCAATAACCTGCAGCAAAGCTGCTAAGTAATATATGAAAAAATATTAATTATAAAAATTAAAAAATTCTGAGAAAAATGTAATTTTAAAATTGTAAGTAAATTATAAAGTACTTATATAAAATAATAAAAAGTAAAGAAAGACATCCAAAAATATTAAATAATGAAGAAATTTTCAAAGAAAAATAAACATTCTGTTATGATGCATCTTTTTCAATTTTACATTACACCATCACATATACGTTCATCACAAGACCACGATATCACGTATGAAATCAATCTTACTGGCTTCAGTTGCCTAAGATCACACAGATGTTATCTCAATTACTCTATCTTGTGTTAGTATGAATACATACTCTTTAGTATGAGCAATATCAGAGCATGTAGGCCTGAGGAAACTCTTTCTCCTTTCCCCAGTCCTGAAGAGGTTAATAATGATTTGCAATTTTAAAAATTTATTTTAGGTTTATTAAGTAATTGTAATTTTTCAATGTATTAAAATTCATTTTAAATTTATTGAGTATTAAGATGAGCTAGAATAGAAAAAAATTGCATGCAAACATTCATTACAGCATAGTAATTTACAACGAAGGTGAAAATGTATTTATATCTGGTGGCATGTCATTGTGTAAGAAATTTTTTTTGTGATTAAGCATAAAGCTTCACAGTTGGGAAAATTCGCTAGTATGAAAATTATGTATAAAATCTGTCGACTCTGTTGAATTAAAATTTTTTGAGAAAAAAAAATATTCTGAGAAATAGTGAAAATATGAAAGTTGAAAAAATAAATTATGAATCATATATTGGTTGACACTATTCCTCTGAGTGTACACATGGTACTAAATGTCTGTAAAAATTTGCAAATGTGGGAGTGAAACATGACTATTTAATTTTATTGTCACTGTCAAAAAGTATCTTTTTTGAATGAACATGTAATGCTAGATAATTTTGGAGATTTGAAAATAAGTAATTTAAATGAATACTTAAATCTAATGACTGCATAATAATAATAATAATTTTTTTGAGAATAATACTGTACAGTAGGGAAAATTAGCCAATGTGAAAATAAAATATTTGTATTTTAATATTTTGACAGTGAGAAAAAAATTAAAAATTTTTTAGAAAATACACATAATGCCAAACAGCAGTAAAAATTTATAAATATGAAAATAAAATAATTTTTTTTTCTTTTCAAATAATAAACATAATACTGAACAGTTGTGATAATTAGCAATAACAGAAAATGAAACATGAATATTTAAACTGTCACCCCATGAGTGAACCATCTTTTAAGAACATACATGATGCTAAGCAATTATAAAATTTTTCCAATTGGAAAATAAGGTATAAATTTTTATTTCGGTGGCATTGTGAAAGATGTTCTTTGATTTAATTAACATATTAGAAAACAATACATATTTGAATGAACATAACATCAATTTTATAAGAATGATACATTACATTTCAACTCAACTGCTGCAAAATTTAAAGAGAAACAATTTCAAAACAAATATTTCGTAAAAAAAGTAAGTGACTTAAAGCACAAATAATGTCATATAAACAAACATACAATCTTTTTTGTGTACTGTAATGAAGCCTCATTTTCAGGGTCCAAATACAGAATATTTGAAATTTATTGTTGTGCGTTCTTCACATTTGAGTTTTATTCTAAAACAGCAGAGGTAATTTTATTTGAAGAATGATTTTAATTGAAGATATGAAAAGTTAATTTAAAATCTACAGTTTTCTGTGCATATTTTTCAAAAAAGAAATTGGTTTTAAGGTATTGAGATAAAATTCTAAATAAGAGAAATTAATAAAAGGGGTATATTACATATGGCAAATAAAACAGGATAAAACAATTTATGGTTGTATGGAAGTTAAAAAAAAATGCTCAGACATAGACGCATTACATTAAAAGTTGATTAATTTATATGCGGTGGGCACTGGAAACAATGCATATCTACTAATCGTTATATTTACTAATCATTATATTTTGAAAATAGTAACATTAATTTTCTCACTTTTGATCATATTCACATGCTTACAAACAATGTTTTCAGCAAAATCTACTGAAACCTAATGTTCATGATATGGGTATGGGACCTTAACTTTAAATTTTTTAATTAGTTATAATTACCTTAAAAGATCTCATAGATAAGAAAAACAAATTTTTTTTTGATGATGTAGACAACAATGTAATGATGAATAAGAATCATTGCATTATAATTACTAATTAAAAAAAAAGGTACTAATATAGCCAAAAAAAAAAAAACTTTCGCTTTGAATTTATAAGTAGAACTTAAAGCAAGTTTTGAACAAATTTATACAAAAATCACAAACTATTATATCGTGTTCCTGGTGATAAAAATGAAAAAAAAAATTGAAAACTGACAAAACACAACTACAATTTGTTTCAAAGTATGTAAATACAATTATCAGCAGTAAAGTGTATGCAAATTGATACTAATTTCCTAAAGAGTTCCACGTTGGGACTTCTCTTGTTGCAGATTAGAAGACAAATGACTTATATTAGGTTGTAAGATGCTAGTTTAAGCAGAACTGTTAATGTTTTTTTGCTAGTTATTTATTGTTAGCTTGTTTTTTACAGTTATCGTTTTTTTGGCATTAAATTGTTAATTTTTTTTGTTAATTGTTTATTATTTTGTTTGTTTTTGTGAATTTTAATTTAATTGTTAATATCAGGGTTGCCGCAGGCTACTAAAATGCAACTATTTGCTACTATTTTCGGGCTTAGGCAACTATGGCGACTTTTTCTGCCTGAAAAGGCTAAAAAAGCAACGATTCTCAGGAATAGGCGATTATTAGGAGACTTTTTTTACTCTTGGCGAAGTTTTTCCGCAAAAATGAACGTTACTTTTCAGAACGTTAATAAAAGAAAGCAAACTTTTATACAATAATTTGTGTCCAAAGAGCCAAAAATTTTAATTTCCATTGGATTTAATAAAGTACTTGTTATATGTTCTCTTTGAGAGGCAGTTATGTTATTTTTAATTGTTTTTTCCTTCTATTATCATTCATATTTTATTGTAATTCGACTTTTAATTAGTATTTTCTAACATGTATACCTTTTATATTTGTACAAAACTTTTTTTTAATTGGAGCTTGGTTAGGACTGGGCGATAAATCGATGTATCGCGAAATATCGATTAAACGCATATATCAGTAGGCCAATGTAGTGACTTTCGTTGTAAACGATGAATCAGAAATCTGATTTAAGCCGCCGGAATTAGATTACAATCGCGGTTTAACGATTTAATATGCAAGGATCCTTGACTAGGCTAACGCTGTTTCCGCACTAATGAAGACGATTTTGATTTCGTCTAGCTACAGAGATGCAGATAGCATTTTGCTATTAAGATGTTATTTTTGTAATGTTGAATGACGAAGTGCGAATTGAATCAGAACTCCCGGTTTCGTACCAGGATCAGCGTTGTAATATGTAGAACGCAATGCATAGTTTCATTATGTCCATTTTTATCTTTGGGATTATGCGTTTTTTGAAGATTATTTTCAATGTGACTTAAGTCATTTTGCGATCGTTGTGCATTTTATTTCGTCGGAAATAATTGTGGAGGAAATAATTTCGTCGGAATAATAATTTCTTGTAAATTATTTTCAGTGAGACTTTAGCAGCGATCGTTTCGTTCTGCATTATTTCATACCATTTTTTTTTCTGTCTGGGTTTAACGATTCTTGTCAATTATTTTTAGTAGACCTACTGTTACTTTGCGATTGCTGCACAATCGCTGTTATCTTAAATTTTCGTTCTGAACTCAATAGATCAAATCATTGATTTTTTTCAGTTATTGTTTTTTTTAATTTTAAGTGATGCAATTTAATAGGGGTATTTTGTATTTAACTTTGTTATAAAAAGTTAGTTTTTTTAAATTTATTAAATGTAGTTAAGTATAATAATTTGATTGTTTTTCAACCAATAAATGCTCAGTCGTTTTTAATTATAAAAAAAATTAAAACAAAACTTACTTTTATTTAATTTGCTTTTATTTTTGAGAAAATGAAAACAAAGTTTTAAAAAAATTTGGCTATTAGTAAAAAAAAATTTTTTTTAATTAAATAAAAAGTTTAGTATTGTTTTGACGTTTTTAATAATTTAACATTAGTACTTAAAGTATTTTTTTAAAATTTTAATTAAAATTCTTTCAATACTTGTTTGTTTTATAATTTGTTCGATAGTCAGTATCATTTTTAAACAAATAAATCTTTAGTCGATTTTATTTTCAAAAATGAAAATAATAATAAATAAGTAAAAATATTTTTACATTTATTAAGTACAGAATTTGACCATTAGTTAATACTACTTTTTATTATTTTAAATAAGTAAATAAAAAAGGGTCTAATGATGTTTCAAAAGCATGTTTTTTTTCCAACAAATAATAAAAAAAAAATTTTCTTCCTAAAGTGAATATTTCTTTGATTTGTTTTCTACTTCCCTTTTTTTTCCTTCTTTTAATTTTTAATGCATGTATGTAAAATAATTTGTTACAGTATTATTATTTTTAAACCAATAAATCTTAAATCATTTTTAATTTAAGAAAAATGAAATAAAGCTGGGGTTTGCTTTTACTTGAACTTCTTTATTAATTTAATTGAAAAAATTAAGCAATGATATTGATGTCATAGTATAATATGCTTAGAATTAATATTTTCTTTTGTAATAGATTTATTCCTTTTTATTTATTTTTGATTGATTTAAAGATTTCCCATAGGTAATTTTTGAACATATGCTAAATTGCGATACATTACTATATCGTGATGTCTAACTGACGATGTATTACGATTTAAAATTTCTGACATCACCCAGTCCTAATAATAGTATTTGACAATTAAGCTATAATTTTTGTTATTTGGCTACTATTTTTGATAAATTTTTGTTTCTGTTCAGGCAACTGTTTTCATAGATTTAGGCAACTATTTTCATGCTTGAGGCTACTAAAAGTGAGGCTACTAAAAGCAACTATTTTTGTTCATTTTTTACTGTGGCAACCCTGAATATGCTTCATAGTGAACTTTGTGATCGGTGGCGTGCCCAGAATATTGTGTCGCGTGCCATAAATGGCACGCGTGCCATTGGTTCGCCATCCCTGTCGTAGGCGATTAAGGCACTGGGGGTTCGATTGTTCTTGTTTCCAGTGGCACCATCTATGGCCAAGAATACGACTTCTGTCACACATAGGGTGGACTCATTCATACATCCATTCATTCATCCACAGATCGTAATTTTGACTTGAACCAAAGAACGATCTATCTCCAATCGAGTATCCCTAGCGGTATAATTTGTTATGGGAACATAGAGGACTTAGTGATCCAAGAGATTTAACGTGTACCAATCACCATTTACTTCACGGGGAGTTTTCGGCAGACTGGATTCGAACTACATTTCTCACGAACATGGACCTATGATCTAATAGAATTAAAATAAATTTTAAAAGCTATTAAGGTATAAAAACTGGGGTATCAAACGAGACGGAGAAGAAAAAATGTGTGAAGCAAGCTAAGATTGCGAAACAATAACAATGGGGAATTAATTTTTTTTGCATTTATGCAAATACTTTATCTTGCCTAATTCGGATATCAAATCTGAAATTAGTTTTGCTCTTAAAATTACAGATTTTTACAAATGTCATTTTTTGTTGAAATTACAAGTTTAAACTCGTTATATATACCCAGAGATCGCGTTAACTTCATGGGGAGTTAGAGCACATCATTAGGATTAAAATTGCATAGGAACCCATGCCCAGAAATGTCACTAACCACTTTGGGCACTTTCCTAGTATGACCTGTTCAGAAACACGGGAAGAAACAGAGTTCATAATAGTGAGGTTCCCCTAGCGGCGTTTGACATATCCGGGCGGTTCCAATGTAATTTTAATCCGGATCATGTGCTCTGATTCCTTTAGAAGTTTGTCGAAACATTTATTCGTCTCCCTCTTACATATAACGTTCTTAAACTTGTACATTTCGACAAAAAATAGACTAAAAGTGTTATAAAAAGGAAAACCGTAGCTTGGAGAAAAAACTGATTGCAGTTTAAAAATCCGCGACGGGAAAATATCCAAGATCCGTTAAAACAATCTCATGCAACAGGAATGTTCCCCAGTGCAATTCTAACTTGAATATAAGAAAATCTCTGCCTGCTTGATAAGTTAAAAGAAAACATCTTTCTTGTTTCTGGGTCTTACAATCGTTAATGTCATTTTACATGGTAAATACTGCATGTTGCTGGGTAACTTCTAATTATTTTAATAAATTTCATTCAAAAAATTTTGGAATTGCTATAAGACACATATAAATAAATAGCTGTGCTTTTTAAGAATTCTCTCATGGTTATTAATTAAAAAAAAATTATCTAAATGTGAAACTATTTGAACTTGGGAATTATAACGAAACTTTTTATTTTGATTTGATTATGATCTGTAAACTAGTTTGTAAGTTTTGATAAAATATGAAAAGAGCAAGAACAAAAATAACTATTTTATTTTTCATAATTTCAAGGTGGCATTATGTATTTAAAACCACTTTCTTGCATTTGTTTCCTTTCTCTCACTTTTCTTGCGTGTTCTTCACGAGCTTTCAACTTATCTCGCAATTCTATAAAATGTTTTTCTCTGAAATAAGAAAAGTAGGTGTCAACATTTTTCTAAAATAACTTATAAAAAAGATACGCTTTGTAAATATAAATAACCTTTTATTTCCTATTTTAAATTTCGAAGTTTTTAAAATTATATAAGACAATTTACTTTAAAAAAAAGCTGAAATCTGTTCTGAAAAGAATAACAAAAAAATGTTTCCTGAACAACTTAAAATTCACTACTTAAATGGATTTTAAGAGGAGCATTTATTTGTTTTTCCTTTTAGGTGCTTTTTTTCTGGATCTTTTATAATCAAATAATCAGAAATTGTAAAAATAACCCATCTCATTTATTAATCATGGACATCAAATTGGAAATATTTATTAGAAGCTAATTTTTTGTACATTTTTTTTAGATCTTAATTTTATGCTGGCTATGTTTTGAGAAATTTATAATGTTTTCTTTGCTAGGATCTATAAAAATTAAAAATTTCTAAGAGCCAGAACCAATTTTTTAGAGTGAGCAACCCTCCCAAAAATACCAGATTTTCGTTTTTAAAATTAGAAAAAAAAAAAAAAAAAAACAATATTTAGACAATATTTTAGATACTATGGCAATTAGAATTTGTATACCCCTGGTTGAGTTGAGAGATATTCCTCTCTCATATTGAATCCTGCACGTTAATATATGTACTACCGAACAATCTTGGATATTTATAGAGTTAGCGCAGAATTTACATAAATCGACATACAGGATACTACATGATAGCGAAAAATCTCTCTATTGTCTCTAAAATATATGAGGAAATAATCCATGAAAATCAGAAAAATGTGTTCAAATCATATTGGATTTATTATTAAAATTAGTATGCATTTTTCAAAGTAATTTAAAATATATAACTAAATAAAAATAAATTTACTATATTAATAATATATAAAAATAAAATATATTTACTATGTAAATAAAAATATATTTACTATAAATATTGCTTTATGCAAATAGTCTGCATTTCTGAATAACATCCTCCATTTTCGTGTATGTAGTAAATTATCCTACTGTAATCAATCTATTTTATTTTTCAAACAGACTCAGAAATAAAAATAAATTTGTTTTGAAAACCTAAAAATATGTCTTATAGAATGGAACAAGAATTTACTTATTTATTATTATTATTTTTTATCCACGTCAGTTTTGGCTAGCAATAAAATAATTCCAAATATATAGCATATTTGCAATCAAGAATAAAATAAGTTTAAATTTAAATTAATATCCCACAAAATACATATTTTTGTATGAATGGATTGTATTTCTATTTTACTCACCTACTCTTCAAAGTTGTTGTTAATTTTTCTTCTATTTTTTGACGGTTGATTTCTGTTTGTTGTTCCAACGTTGCTTGCAACTCCTGACGATCTTTCAAATTTAATTTACTAAGCTTTTCTTCAAGTTTTTTCTAGAATTAAATATATTTATAAGATATGTGAAATTTTACTCTATGTTTTGTCTCATTACCAGCTCAGGAAGTTAAGAACTGTAAAAAATTGATGATTAGATTGATTACTTTTTATTAAAAACTATAACTCTAGAGAAATTGTTAAAATTTGTAAATTTTGACCGGTTTAGGTATATAATGAATGTTATTTATTTCGCTTCATTGTCAACAAATTATGAATGAGTAACAAAATAACATTCAACTAAATAACGGAATAACGACTAAAATACTTTTTACAGTGGTGTTTTACGCCAGAGGATTATCCACTTCAATATCCTTTAAAATATATTTTCATCAGAACCGAATTTGACTAAAAAAATTTAAAATTTTACGAAGTTAATCTTGTTGCTACCTCAAAATAATCTTTAATATGGCTGAATTTAATTATACACTGTAAAAAAGTTTGGCTTATAGTTGCCACCATTTTTGGTATTGAGGTAAACTCAATTTTTTTTACAGTGCATGTAGTCACACAGTTTTAATTTACTTTTTTACTGTTATAGTTTTATTTATTTATTTATTCATTTTTTGTTTGTTTGTTTATTGACAGCTCGTATTTTAATGCGTTTTAGAATAAATTTATGGCTTCACTGCAAAAGTATTTCGTTTAAAAAATAAGCAAATTTTTAGCAATATATTCGTTTTAATTCTATCAAACAATATTATTTTGTCAATTTTGCAATCTTTTTTTTTAGAACGATAACTACAGTTTTGTATTTACACCAAAATTTATTACAGTGCAGTAACAGTATAGGGTAGATCACATATTTATATTTACATGTAAAGAAAAGCAATGTGTCAGGGTTCAAGGGTGTAAAGTAAGTTAAATGGCAGATTCACAGGTACTAATTTTGCTAAAAGTGAACACTTTTCAAAATACTATTTAGTATGGTGTACTTTTAAAATTGGTTATGCAATTCACCGCGTAAATTTTCTCAATGGAATAAGAATAAATTAACTACACACATGTGAAAATTTAAACACCATGAACGAATTTTTCAAATTGAACCAAACTTACATGAAATTTAATAACTCAAAAGAACATGAAAATGATTAGAATTACAAAGTGATTGCGGAAGTTTATTTTTTGGTTCTATCAGTAATGTGTGGAATAATATTAATTATTAATAATAACAACATTATATTTAACATTAATTATAATTATGGAATAACATTAACTTCTAACAATTCCTTCATAGTGTTGCTATTATCACAAACAATAGTGTTTTGAGTTGTTATAGAACATTAATTGTTTCATAGAATAAGTCATTTGCCAAGAACATCCATAAATCGACCGGGTTTCTAAAAAGTAACTGATGATTTGAAATATCAATTAAAATAATGTTCAGAGATGAAAATGTATGGTTTGCTGTGTTTTCTTAAGAAAACTCGAGAACTTATTCTCAACAAATTTCAAAATTTTTACAAAGTTCTGTAACAGATGGCGCTGTTGACTGGGAAAAATATAAAACAATATTCTGTTGTGACTATTCCAAATAAAACTCACGTGCGTTAATTTTGTTCTTAGACTGTATAACACACTACGCGTAATTCCACCATTCATAAGAGTTCCCTGTAATTTGCAAATTTTAACTGGTTGTGAGAGTAAAACACATTTAAGAAAATTAATATGAAGTGTAAGGTTTGCGATGATGTTTTGAGTGTCATCCCTTATTTGGCTATAGTCAGGCAAAATAGTGTCATTTTTTGGGTTGTATCATAGCATGCTTGAGGAATTTTCGAAAATATTTTTTGTTTGTTTAATTGAAATTTAAATTGAAAAGACACGTTATTTTGTAAACACTACAACCAATGTTGGTTGACGTGCTTTTTCAAGCTTAGGTGTAAAAATCAATCAGAAGTAGTACGGAATTTTACGACGAATTTTAACCCCTAGCACCATCTGTGTTGAGCTTTACATGATCAACCATCCATATTCATTAGTTTATTTGTGAAAATTAAATAAAGAGACTTAAAATACATTTCCCCTCTCCAGTTTTACACCACCTCCTGATGTTCGAGAAAAAAAAAAAAAAAAAAAAAAAAAAAAAAAAAAAAAACCGTACGAGCTCCTAAGCAATCCCTTTTTTCCACGCATGCTCAATCTATCTGAAAAGGGATTTAACCCTTTGACAGATTGGACATATATTTCATATATTTTTATCTATTTTTTTGAAGCTCTTAATACAAGTAAAAAATATATTTTGGTATTTTTTAATCGTAAAATACAGTCTAATAGCTACTAAAAAAAAATCTGTTAGATAATTGGAATTTTATTTGTACTAAAATATGAAACCCAAAAAAAGAAGTATTTTTTTCATTCATGTTACAAAAATTTATGAATAATTGAATTTGTAAATTAAAATAATTTCAATGATGAATAACTGTTTCTCTTAGACCTAAATAACTACAAATGAGTACGAATTTGAAAAAGTATTGCTTGGAAGGGAGCCGTGTTAGGAAGACCTTTAACGCAAAAAAAAAGCACTGTTTTATGCTGTATTTCATAACCAATTATTAAAATGCTAAATCTAATATTTTTCACTTATGTTGACCTAAATAAAGCAAAATAAGGAAAAAAGCATGAAAAATATGTTTAATAAAAATTCTGCGTCAAAGAGTAAGATTGATTGAAGAAATAATTAAATGATTAAAAAACGCTGTCAACGTCAAAATAGATTTGTTTATATATAAAATTAATAATAAAAATTCTAATTTTTGTAAAAGTACACAAACATTAAAAAAATAAAGTACGCAAAATTTTGATTTTCAGTAACTTTTTCTTTCTTCCGAGTACGTAGTAATATGAAATTCGAAATCTTAATTTTGATGTCTCATAGTTTAATAATTTACTTTGGAAGTAATAATTTCCTAATCAAAGGTCTTCTAAGATAAAATTACATTTCAAAAATGATGATGAAGAGGAATGCATAAAACTAATTTTTTTAATAATTTTCCCAGGATTCAAAATTTTATTCTACTTTATTTTGCTTTTTCCAGCAAAATCATATTAGTTTTGTGATTTTTATTTAGTTTGACCATATTTTACATTCCTTAGTTAAACATGTCATATTTTAACATTCAGAAAAAGAAATGAAAAACAGAAATAAATAACAAAAGTTAATTTTTAGTTATTATTGTTTAATATTAGCAAATAAAATATAAATCATTGCCTATTTTACGATTTGAGAAACAACAGAATTTATTAGAAAAGTTATAATAATTTATTAGAAAAGCTACTAAACTTATTACAAATATAAAATTTTTTGAAAACTTTGACACGACTTTACGAAAGTTTATATAGGATATAATTTTTTTTACTGATACAAATTACATGCATGTATAGATAAATAAGATGTTCGTAATTAAATAAATACATCATATTTATTTATTTAATTTATATTTATTTAACAAATGAACAGACAATGTATGTATATAAACGTGCGCATTGTATGTACGTACGTGCATACAATGCATACGTGTATATACTTTGTATATGTGTTCTACAATGTATATGTGTATGTGCAAAACGTACCTACATTACGTACGCTTGTACGCATAATCTAGGTACATATTATACGTAGTTTGCACATTATTTTTACGCATATGTGTACAAAGTACGTACTGATGTTTATACAATGTACTTGCATATGCATGTTTGCACTCTGTATAATGACAATCTATGTACATATGTGTGTATATTTGTACATACAACGTACCTACGTATGTATGTACGCATGTGTATACATCGTGCATTCGAATGTAAGTATGCCTGTACAAACATTCGAACTTACTTACGTATGTACATACAACGCGTCTGCTTACGTGTGTAAGTTTTCACATGCAGAGGATTTACCCGTGTATGTACGTAATTGCAAACAGAACGCCAACTTACACATATAATATACACATAATGTACCCTAATGTCATGTGTACATACAATATACATACGTATATATTTACGTATATACAATATGCATACGTATTTATGCACGTATAATGCATAAACATACGTATGTTTATATATAATATAATGTTTATAATTTTTCATGAGTAAACCAAGCAATAAAATTAGTTTAGATATACAAGTTATGCATTGTTACGAAAAGTAATAAAATTTTATACAATCCCGATTACAATGTAATCAAGCTCACTTGAAATTATGATTATAGTTAATAGCGCAGTAATCGTCTATTATACTTACTTGTATTTGAGATATTATATTTACTTGTATTTGAGATTGCTAATAATCCTTAGATTATGATTTCTTGTTATCGTACTTTATGATTACAAGTAGTAACGATTGTTAGCAGTCATAGGTTTCGATTACTTTTAATACTGATTAATTACTTTTTTTGATTACAAATAATCATAACTGCTTGTAAGGAGAAATTTTGATTATTTCTTATCGTGATAATTTTAAACACGAATTACCTATAGCAGATTAGTGTGTAATTATAGATGTAATTAATTAATTTCTATCGATTACTATAATCAGCGTGCAAGTTTTAAAAGAAATTACATAATATTTGCCTTTTTCCCAGGTTATTCAAAATTTTATTCAGAAAATTAGTCAAGACTAAAGAATTTATTCATCAATGATTATTCAAAAATTTGCATAATGAATGATGAATAATGACAACATTTGCTGATGAAAATTCATTCAGAATAAAATTATTCTGTCTAAATTTAGCCATGACTAAAATTTTCTTGAATAGCCCATCTCTGTTATAGAGTAAAAAAATTAGCTCGATAAATTTTACAATTCCATTAAGAAAAAAAAAGTATTTTGTAAATTTCAATTTTTAAAAGTTTTTACTCCAATTAGATTTTTGTGTAAAATATAATTAGAAAAAAAGTGAATAAAAAGCAGCCTTCTAATCCTTCTTTTAATGAATTTCATATCAAAAACTTTTATCCATTTACGAGAATAAGAGTAAATGCTCTTTGTGGTTTCTACCGATAAAATTTTCTTAGAGATAAATTGAATACCTTTCTTCTTTCTTCAGCTTTAATTAGTTTCTGTTCGATTTCTTCGTAAGTAAGTTCTGCTTTTTTTCGTTTGTATTTCTTGCGAATATTGATTGGTGGAAGTTTGGGACATGATGAAGACGATTTTGAAAGAGTATTTTCAGCTGGAACGAAGTCAAACCTTAAATGGGAAAATAGATTTATTGATTAATTCAAAAATATAATGTAATACTATAAACATGATAGGGTATACAACTAGGATAAATTCTCTACTTACAATCTGTAAAATAAATGCAGTAAGGACATATCTAAAAGTTAAGTACAGAACAGTGAAATGCGAAAAAATCGACAAGCACTACTTTGATTTACCAGAAATGCTGCAGGAAAGTAACAAACATGTTCATTCATAAAACAGAAGGAAGAATAGCATGCAGAAAGGAAAAATATATTGAATTTGCATAAAGTTATGCAGACGTCTTATGAGCGTCATTCACAAAACTATGTTTAAAATTAAGAAAAACAATAACAATATCTGACGTAAATAAGGTATGTGAGCTCATTTTCATTTCATTCTCACTCTCACTCATTTTCACACAGAGTGTACAACATGTGGTCCACATGAGTTCAGTGATTGCAATTCCTCTTTTAGAGCAGTTACTAAATCTGTGAGAGTGGCTGAAGAAGGATATTCTCATAGCTCGAAAGAGGGAATTCTAAAGATTTTCAATCAGAGTAAAATCCGATGAGTAAGTCGGTCCCTCTATAAGCGCAACTCCCCCACTTTCTAAATAGTTGTCAACGAAGGTAGTTTTATGAATAGGTGCGTTGTCGTCCAGTAAAATGAAAGTGGGACCAACTGCTGCAGCGTTCAGTTCCATAGTTGTATTTAGGACTCCATATGGATACCGTACAGCCATCGCAGATTTTCGTTTGTAGATGTGCAGGTCTGTGCAATATTCCATTGAATTTTCTGCCCAGACCATGAAGCTTCCACCTCAAAATGCGTGATGTTCGGTGAGGTTCTGCTGCCTATTGCATGCTTCTTGTTTCCTCGTAGAACCTTAGACGCTTGTCTTCGGGTTGCTGGGAAAATCTAGACTCATCTGAGAACATAACGTTGCTCAAATCAGACACAGTCCAATTCACATGCTTGCGGCACCAATTTAATCGTGCCTCTTCGGATTGGTCAGATAAAAGAATACAAACTCGTGGTACCCGGGCATACAGTGGCGGCAGACGAACAGTAGTCGTAGATATCGTCTTACCAAATGACCGCTGTAACCATTGAAGTGAAAGTGAGGAGGTCGCATTTTGATTACGCTTGGCTACAACTGCAATATATCGATCCTCCGCGAGGGTCGTAACCCTTGGATATCCAGCCATAGGTCTTCGGAAAACTGTTTAGCTGGTTTCGAATTATTTGCATAATCCTGAAATGAGAGAATGATGGACGTCGAAAAAAAAAAAGAGAAATATCTGGGATAGAGTGTCCTGTTTCAATGCATCCGACTGCCTGCCAGAGTTCAGAGTTTTCCATTTGTCTTCTGGAAGTCAAAGAATCGTGGTTAGCTTGAAAAACTATTAAAGGGTGTTCTAAAAACCTTTTATCCGCACTTAAATGCAATTCCTGTTAACCTTCACCAAACCAGGAGCTTTTACTACTGGTTTATTTGCCGATTTCTTGATTCGAAGCCGTGGTTAGGGGTATTTTAACTTAATTGTATACTTCCTTCTACCTCTACAACAAGTGACAGTTTCTCCAATTCAGATTGCCTTACAGTAATCAGAATTTTCTCTTAGTGTGTAACTTAGGGTATGAATGCAAGAACGACAAGCCGTTCAGAAGATCCTAATCGATTTCAGTAGCTAGTTTTTTGGAATATGACACAGGGACCGATTTACACATTTCGAGGTCACAAATCCTATTTGGAGGCCTCTTCATTTTGTAAAAACGCAGGGATATTTAAAAGAATTCGAATCACTTAATGAATATTTTTCTACAAAATTATTAAAATTTAAATTTTTGAAATGAAATTTTAAAAGTAATTAGTTAGTTGCAATTTGGAGGCCACTTAAAAGTTTGAGTTCTGAGAATGTACCCCGAATGCCCTACCGTAATCCAGTTCGTGAGCAGACATATAATTGAGCCACACAAAATTGCTCGATTAAGTTGCAAAAGTAAGCTTTTCAAGCGTATTTATTTGGGAGTTGAATGCTGCTGTTATTAAGTAGTGTTGATTATTACATATGTACCCCATCAGCTAAGTTTTTATAGCGAGGATTCGTTTACAGTATTAAGCATTCAAAATGTCAAAGTATCAATGGCATTTATATCAAGTAAACTTGTTAAGATTTTATTTGTTATCTTTTTAAATTCAAAGCTCTCTGTTAAAATCTTTAAAGTTTTGAGTAACCACCCTTGCTGAACAACAAGGAGCTGACCAACAAGGCAAATGAAAAGCTGAAAATGCAGGTTAATACAAATTAATTTATTAATAATAACATTTACTGAAATTAATCAGTTAACAGCTAATAACAAAAATTTAACATTTAATAATAACAGTTACTGATCTGCAGAAACTACTTTTTTTTAAAAATATTGTGCTTATAAACGTAAATTTTTTCAAAATTCCGGAATATCCTGTAAAATGAAAAAGTTTAGTTTTGGGTAATCCAATGTCTTTTCATTATATTTATTTAATTATTATATTCAGTTAGTCTCTGAAATCTGCGCGTTGGTTCAGTAGTTTTTAGTACTAATCGACCAGGGAAATATTAATAAATCAAAGTGTTTCTTTCTTATGAATCTATGTAGGTTATTTATTTTAATTTTTCTCAGGAAAATAGAAAAAATCGTACCTTATTCCTCCAACAGCTCTAGACCCAGGTCTAATCACAAGACCTTCATCTTTCAATGTTTCAATGACTGCTTGCTGCGCCATTTTTTCTCGATCGCGGGAGCTTAATTTCCTTGGGCAAGCTTTCCCTTGTATTAGTAGCTCTACAAATATAATACGGAATTATTTATTGTAATGTCATATTAAAATACTTTATTTTAGAAATTAGTTACTAAACTAGATAAGATACTTCAATTTTATCTAAAAAATGGGTATAAGGTGATAGTTATTATTTATAGTTTTATTGTAAAATAGCAAACCAGTTTAGTTTGTCTGAAATCATGCATTTCTATGGAGACGGAATCCATGTGCAGATTTAAAAAGCCGAAATATTAAGAGCACGCTATATCACAGGAAAAATCCTTCATGGAAGATTCTCTTCTACTAACATAATTATTTTAAAGTTTTGAGAAAAGCTAGTTTAGGTAAATCAAGAGTAAACCATGAAGTTTCAAATGATGCAAGAATGTTTTCAAAATATAAAAATGCAAAAAATTTTATGGCAAAATTTAAAATTACTTAGGATTGCGCAGAAGAGAAGTTATCCGGTAATAATTTGTTTGCATTTTGATAATTTGAAAAAAATTTTTGTTCTGCACTTGAAACTTCATAGTTTACCTGAACTAATTTTTCTTTCAACTTTAAACATTATTTGCCATGTAAAGTTTTTCTCGCGTTATAGCACTCTCTTAATCTAACTTTTTTTAATACGATTTATTTCTTATGTTATTGTAGCAGACATTATTTTATGTGTTTCGTTTATATAATTTTCGTACCTCAATTATTTTAGAAAATTAGAATTATATAAGAAAATACTTTGGGTTTGGAAAATAGATTGTCATTACTTCGTTTAGAACTGATATTTATAGGATGTCTTAAAACTAGCAAAAATCGAAATTTAATATTAAACATTTTTTTCAGACGTGGCTACTCAGGGGATTGAGCGTTTGCCTTTCATTCCGCATCCAGCTTGTACCGACCACAGTGCTGACGTAAAAGCATCCTCAGTGGCAGACGGATCATGGGTTAGAGTATCCTTGCAGTGGGAGTTTTTTGTGATTTTTCTCTCCATGTAACGCAAATGCGGATTAGTTTCCTCAAAAAGTCCTCCACGAATGCAAAATTTTCCCCAATACTTGATCCAGGAGTTCCCTTGTCTTCTGAATTGAGTTCAAAATTACAACGCTACGAAGTTGAACATTAGTAGTCGTAAACCCAAAAAATTGGGTCGGCATTTCTGCGACGGTTATAAAATAAAATAAATAAAACTCCTTTTTAGATGGAAATAAAGTTTATATACTAACAAAGATGATCATTGATTATATTTATTTTTATTGATTCTGGTAATTTTCACCTGATATTTTTTGAAAGTATTATTTCTTTTGAGAATTTCTTTTACTCATTTCAATAAAGCCGTAAAAGTCAACGCATTGTTGGGAGGACATGGTGACTTCTTCTGATATCCGCTCTAAATTGTGGTAATTTTAAGAAATTGAGGATTTCGTTATCTATGACTTAAAATAAAAGTTATGAGTGGACGACAATTTTAACTGTCAAAGACAGCCGGAACGAAATATTTAAAGATTGAGGAGACATAAAAAATTTTCTATTTTCATTTATTTCGTAATTGAAACATTAAAAAAAGGAATAAATAATATATATATATATGTATATATATAGATGCAAACTTGGATGTTAAAGAAAAAAAAATCCTTAGTAGTAGCAGCATTATAGCAGTTTGACGTATTAAATCTTAAAGTTTCAAAAAAAATTTCACCCTACCACGACAAACCAATAATTAAGTTATGTAAATATGATCTACCTTGTTAGCTTACTTAGCTCTTCAATGTTTAATTAGTTTAATTACTAAAAATTCTTTCCAACTTTACTTGTTCATTTACTACCATTGTGTAAAATCTTTTTCAGCAACCGTACAGTTATACAGGATTATTCATAATTCCCTTCGGGGTTTCGAAGCGTTGTAGTGAAAAAAAGAAGACGAATATGAAAAAAAGAAACATATGAAATTATTCCGAAACTATTCAAGTTTTACTTATATACATTACAGAGGTGTTCTATGTGTGAACCCTTGGTCACACGGCATGCATCAATGCGATAGTCCAGTTCCTGCCCGGAGGGAATTATGAATAACCCTGTATTATTAAAAATTTAAAAAAATATAAACAAATTTCGAACTACTTTTCCTTAAAAGTCTGACTACTGATGCTATTTTTTAACTATGTGATTCAAGGAGTTATGAAGCAAGGTCTTGCTTACCAATACCGTCTCGTGGAATGAATTGACTGTTTACTTCTTGAACCTTACTAGGGTCTGAGTTTTCTGTAATAATGTGCGAATATTCATCATCAAGCTCATACATACCGGAATCCCAACTTGTATTGGATTTAGTAGATATTTGTGATGTACTGCTCTTAATTGATTCCTAAAATAATAGTTTAGCATTATATGAGCTGTTATTTTTGAAAATGATATAAATTATTTCAAAATATTTTGAAAAATAATTTCAAAATGTTTGACATATTTTGACATGATATTTTTGAAAATGATATTTTGAAATGATTATATTGGAAATGAAATAAAATATGGTATTGAAAATGATATAATGATTTGGGGAAAATGAGTTAATAGTAATTTTAGGGAGAAATAAATATCTCTTTTTTATATTTATAATCATACATTAAATGGCGTACGATTTGTTGTTTAAATAATAAACATAATTTCAGCTAAAAATTTTATTGCAAAAGCACTTTTTTAAAAGTAGAATAAGTTCATTTCTAATAACCAGAGTAAAAAAACTTTTATTTTATTTTCAAATTACGTATATTTTGGAAACAATCTCTCGTTAAACTACACCACCTGAGAATAAGTACCAATGTGAACATGCACATTGCGAGTTTGCCCTCGAAATGATTTCCCGGGAGTTTACCCACAAATATCAAAGTTATTTACCTGATTTTGTTTAGTATTCCTTCGCAAGTCCATCTATTAGATTTCTGTTTCCTATACCAATCAACTGCAGAGTGCGTATTATTCAAATATTATGATTGTTATTAAAGCGAATTATCAGAAAAGAATAAATAAAAAGATCCCAGCAAGGTTACTATCTTGCCTCTGTATAAATATTCACGATCTATAACAAGAGAGAAGTGCACAAAAACAAGGAATTTAATGCTTTGCATGCCTCTGATTTACCACGAGTACTCATGCGTAATTTTTAATAGGAAATTAATAATTCGTATAAATTAAAAATTTTATCGCAAAAAAACTTTTTTTTTCAAAGAAGCCTATAAGTCCATTAATGAAGGTAAAAAAAACTTTTATTTGATTTCTAAAATTACTGCTCATTTTGGAAATAATCGCTCGTTAGGCAACAGTGTCTGAGAATAAGTGCCAGTGGAAGCATGCACATTGCAAGTTTGTCAGTTTCTGGTAAATAAAGCGAAAGCGAACACTGCAAGTTTGCCTTTTTTCGCTTCAATTTATATTTTGATGTTGTTTACTTGATTTAAGCATTGTTTCGCTAGTCTCGCAAGTCCAACTGTTTGGTTTGGGTTTCCTATTCCAAAGAATTGAAGCGTACGTATTTGTCAAATAATATGATAGTTATTAAATCAAATAATAAAAACAGTTTAAAAGATCTCATCAAGATTACTATGTTGTCATTGTATGAAACATCAAGGCCTAGAACAAGAGAGAAGTACAGCAAAATATTGAGTTTACTGCCTTACCTACCACCGATTTACCATGAGTACTTAATTGATATTATTAATTGGAAATTAATAATTCGAGTAAGTTAAATATCATTAATATTTATTTTAAAATTTAAATATTATGGAAAATATTTTTTCGGTAAATCGGAAGAGCCATGATAAAGCTTATGGCGCCTGTCTTTAAATAAGTGTTATTTGGGAGGAATTTTACCCCTTTGATTTTATACGCATTATAAATTATATTTCAAATATATTTAGAATTACATATTATTATATTAATTAGTTTTGAAATGTTATATGGTCAATAAATTAAAATAGAGAAAAAAATCTTGACACCAGTAATGGTGTTCTCTTTAAAAAAAATTTATTTTCTTACAACCGCAATAAGCAAAACAAGAACCGGAACAAATGTTTCTATAAATGAATAAAAAGAAATTTTCCTTGACATGTCAAAGAGAAATCTATAACACAATTTTGTTAATGGAAATAAAACAAAAACAACTTTTACTTAGCTTTATTTCCTCGTATTTATGTCATGATAATGTAGATCTTCCGACTGAAAATGCTATTTATCTGTTATATGATGGAGATAAAGGCAATAGTTAGTCTTCTTTTGCTAATATCATGACGAATGGTGATAGATTTTCAATGCAAAAGAAATAGTTTCTAATTTTTATCTTATTGGGGGATCATAAAATGCCCACCCTCTTACCTTTTTACACAAACATTCAACTCATATTAAAAAATGCATCATAACTCATAAATCGTGTTAGAAAATCCACTATATTATATTCTTCTAATACTATTTTCTTGTTTAGTATAATAAATGAAAAAAAAAAAACAATATTCCATTTAATTTCGGTATGAAGAATCGCATATTTATTGAAGGACTGAGTCGATTTGCAATTTCAAACTATTATTAAAAATACAAATGGGTAGTTAAATTTAAAAAAATAATTCAAACATTAAGAGTGGTTTATTGAAGTTTTTTCACCATCAATTTTATCTTAATAATTAAACTTCAATCAGTGTTATACTATAATTAATCATCCGTCTCATGGACTAAGAGTTAAAAGCATGATTATTTTTCTTTATGTCAAAAAATTAGTTTAGCTTCGGAGAAATACTGTTTCATTTTTACTGCAATAAAAAACAAAAGAAAAAATGCAACTTTTGCAATTTTTGAAAATTTTTAAATATTACAGCAGCATCTACACTTCCCAAAAATGGCAAAAATCAATAAATTATCAGGCGAATGTTTAGACAAGTTAAAAAATTTAACCGTTTGCAATCTTTGAAGATGTTAAAGTGTTACGGTAACATCTTGACTTTCTAAAACTGGCATAAGTCAATAGTCTATTGGACGAATGTTTGATAGTTAGTGTTAAAAATTTGACATCAGCACTATTTGCTGAAGGGATATCATAAAGACTATATCTGAATTTCTACGAAATCTATTGTAGTAAAAAGACTTAATTCAATTGGGACATTTTTCTTCATTTTTAAGCAAACATTATCCTTGTTTGATCACAAAACTTTAATTATAGTTTTCAACCGAATACATATACTTCAATTGAAATATTATAAAGGTCATATTTCATAAAATATTTGAATGTCATTAAACATGAAGAAAAATATTTAAATAAGGATGAAGTTCGATTTTGGAACTTTTAATAAATTATTGGTATAGTACTATCAATTAAATATTTTTGCGGCATCAGCATTCCTTTAACTTTTACAGCAAAAGTGATACCTAACGGAATCACGATATTTATTCTCAATGCTCAAAACTGCCACAAAATCCAAAAATTTTGATCAATTTATGTATCTGGATGTGTATTATTTGATTAAAAACTTCATTCACTTCAAAAACATACAAATTGGAAATAACATTCGACATATTTCAAGCTCTCAAAAACAAACTCCAATTTTCAAGACTTCCCAGACGTGTCTTGCGTGTCATTCACGTCTGGCAAGTCTTAAAAATGGACGTTTGTTTTTAGCGCTTGAAACATGCCGACTGTTTTTTCCAATTTGTATGTTTTTGAAGATAATAATATATTACTGCTTCTTCTTGGGATTATTTATTTAACATCTAGATCTACTTTCCGTACATTCGCCCATTAGATTTATTTTTTTTACACCGAGCAAAAAATTATAAGTAATTAAAAGAAATACTGCTTGCTGGGCTATCACAATCCCTTACAACTTAAAAATCAAAATTAATTTCATTTTTGATGTAATTAAAACAAGCAATTCTGATTTAATTCCCACTCTCTAACTTAGTGATTACTCGAGTTTGAAAACAAGTGTAATTCAAGGTTATGGTCATTAATTTAAAATGTTTACAAGTCTTTATTTCGTTATTTTAGAGCAGTGGTTCCCAAACTTATGACTTTTGTGTACCCTTTGTAAATTTTTCGCAACACTGTGTACCACTAATAAAAAAATTTATGTATTTTTTACTATAAGAAAATTACACAAAAGTTAAAAATCACAACTGGCTGTTGACACCACTAATTATTAACAGTTAGCTCTGCAAAAAATAGCCAATAGAAAAATACGTAATCGTAAATTTTCATGTCTAGCTTTGTTTTTAAATAAAATTTTTTGAAATTTTCGTTTGTTGCAAGATATTTCGCATAAGAACGCGTACCCCCTCTAAACTGTTCCAGTACCCCTAGGGGTACGCGTACCACACTTTGGGAAACACTGGTTTAGAGCAAAGTTTTAAATCGGACAACCTTTTTGGTTCAGTTGGAGTATTGACAATAAATTGTATTTAAACATTATTTATTTTGTGTTTCTCTGTTCTTAACTCATACTGAATAGTTATTATGTATTTTAAAGTTTTTAATAATAATATAAATTCTGGGTCTGAAAGTATATTTTAATTTTTTTTACTCTACGTGCTTTACTTTGATTTGAGGTGTTGATTAGTCTAGTTATCCTTTGTTATTTTTATGAACAATTTTTTTTTAGTTAGTTAGTTTTTAGGTTATTTTTTATAAATTTTTTGTTACCTGTTCTTCATATATTTTATAGGTGCTTACTTTTTTTAATCAATGTTACCATTTAAGTTCGTCTGAAACAGAGCATATTATTAACAACGATGGAAAACTGTATTTTTCTTTTTATATTATACTGTAATAAAGCAATCTGTATAAACTTCTCACTTGAAAAGTACATGTAAAAACAAAAAGCAAAATAAGCATTAATCTTTAATGTTTAGAAGTCTAAAATATAATTTCCTAAAGTACAGGGTATTAATTAAAGCTCTAAAATTCTAGATATTAATTAATAATACAAAATCCAAGAACAATAAGATTTGAGTGCTAATAATTATAATATTGTTAATTACAATTGACTTCTTTGAGACTTGTAAATACATAGCAATTAGTGGATTTTTCTAATTTTCTTTTTGTAAATATCGTGTCAAAATATCAATTTATTTTATAAAAATTGGTTTTTCTGCTATGTTTTATGTGATTCATTTAATTTGGATAAGTTTTTGCCTAAATAGCTGAGAAAGAACAATCAACAAAATAAACACATTTTACAGCTAATATCTAGCTTTTCTTATGATCCGTTGTTTGGCTTTTCAGTTTTAAAAAATGCCACCAGTAGGCGATAACCTCAATTTTAAGAACCACGGTGTTAAATCATATATTAAAAGGAAAAAATAAATCATGATTTTGAATAAAAACTCACTTCTTTTAGGTACCGATATTGATTACTCATACTTATTTTCGAGAAAGCGTTACAATCATTGCATTTTTAATATTAAAATTTGTTTCATTGAATTATTTTGCTCAAGGTTATTTTCGTTATTGAAGTTTATCGATTAGCCTTTCAGTGGAATAAGTTAGCAGAAAATATTGAAACATGGAATTACACAATTTGAATGACTGAAGCATAAAACGATTGAGAAAAATTGGTAACTTTAAAGTTAAGAAGTTCACTTTATATTTCGTCTTATGAGATGTTAATTAGCGAGATTTAAAATTTATTCTAAAATTGCTTTTGAAAGCATGAAACTCCCGATTAGTTACTGCTCATTATTAATATAGTTTGTTCGTTTAGTTTCGCGATAAAAAGCAGCAGAAATTATTTGTCTGCAAATAACCGGGATATCCGGGTTAGTTGGGCCCAGGTCCAAGAGGTCGTGAGTTCGATCCCCGCCGGCCTAAGACTCCCCGTGTAGTAAATGATGACTGTTGCACATTAAGTCTGCCCGGTTACATGTTCCCATAGTAAATCCATACCTCTGGGGTACTGAATTGGAAACTAATCGTTTTCTGGTTCTGGTCAGAATTACTACCTGTGGATGAATGAATGGGTCCGCCCGTTGAACTGTGCTGTGACGTGTGCATGTCTGGCTGAAGTCGTATTTTTGGCAATAGATGGCGAAACTAAAAAGCAAGAAAGCGCCCTCTATTTTAAATTCGCTTGGTTTCGTCAAGAAGGCTTACTGACATTGGTACGTAACATTAGAAATAACAACAAACTTTCTAAATCGAGAAAGAGATTAATCATTAAATTTTTTGTCCAAAGAGATAATAAAATGGTTATC